CTGCTTCCATTAGCTTGGATAATCTTTGTACTTTAAGCTGATTAAGATCAATATTTACACATGTATTATATCCTAAATAGTTCCTACTTCAAATTGTGTACTACTACTAGTAAGAATTAAGACCTCCATCACTCAATATTTCATATCGATATTCCTTGATGAATGATAAATCTCCGACATGATTTGTTGGAATAATTAGTGGAAACAACCCAACACTACATGTACAATAATGCTTGAAACAAGTTTGTTTTAATATTTGATAAACAGAAAGAAAATACAACAAATATAAATTTCAACAAGAACATACATGTACATGTTGTATGTAGATCAGACTGAATTTCTTAAATACCCCTAGAAATTAATATTTTCACCTGCTGAAGAAAGTGTGGGACAATAAAGCTTCAGATTAGTAATGTACGCTCTTCCATAAAAAAAAATCCTGTTCAATGCCCTCTTTCTTATAAAGAAATAGAATAACAAATATTGGAACCAAACAAACTATTATTACTGAAAAATTCTCTGTTTTATCAATGAATACACTGATGTGCAAAATATAATTCTTCAAACATCTGTAGAATCCAGATTTGGCATGGAGTTTGAGGGAATAAGTTCTCTAAAATATTTGAGGCTTTCTAATCTTGAAAAGGTCAAATACCTTCATTGGGTATGTTCATTCAGGGAGGTGTCCTCCCACCTCCCTGGTTCATTGAACCCAAACCTACAAACTAAAACAAAATTCACTCCCACAACACACCCTCACTGTACAGGGTATGTGGGCTATAACACAATATGCAACATGAATCTCTCCAATGCACAGATGATTCAAGCAAAAAACTAAAAAACAAATTTGACTGAAATCACAAAATTTGTTTCCTAAAACAAAACAAAACAAATTTGGAAGTCCTGTAACATTCGTTTTTAGTGCCGCTACATTGTCAATATTAAGCCTACTGGTACATGTAATTATACAGGGTAAAAATAGAAACTCGGGATAGTTTCACAGCCAACCAAATATAAACTGGTTTCTATTAGTATTAAAATTCTTTAAAATGAAACAAACATTTGTCATCACTGAATTTTCCCCCTTTTAATACTTACAATTTGTACATGTACTGTATCTATCTCTCTCTCTTTTAGTTTAATCCATATTGACATAACCAGGATGAAATTTGCATAATGGAGTAACTAGCAGGCAGGCATCTATTTCTACCTAATGCCCTGAGTGATGGTGTACTGTACAGTAGATCCTCTAATTCTATTGACCCATCCAAGTTGTGTCAATATCTCTGCATACCGTGCTGTATATTATCATCACTATGCAAGGTGCATACTGTGTAGACCTTTCAGTCTTAATCTCAAATGTATGATGTACTGTATGATGTACAGTATTTGAGTAAAGAAAGATCCTTCCGTAAATTGACATGAAACACGAAAGATGACCTTTATTCATTCCATAAGCAATAGTTTAACTATGCATACATGTACATGTACCTCTTGGGGATGGGAGAAAGGGAAGTACTATGCTAAAAATTGGCTCTGAAAAGTTATTTAGTCTTTGAACTTTGAAGACTGGTACAGCGGAACCTTGTCATTCAGGTAACATTCCTTGGGACAAATGAAAATTACAGAAACCGTAAATTTCATTGTCAGAAATTATACCGGTACAATAAAATGGAAATGGTAAAAATGCCTTGCTGTTGCATTAAATGGTTTTTCAATTCAATTCAATTCAATTCAATTTAGGAGGAATCATGCAGAACGAGGAATGGTGTTTTACAAAAGGAGGTATTGAAGCATACTAAAGATACAATTTTATCCTTTTACAGGTCTACAGCCCCCCCCCCCCCCCCTTCCAAACTAATTTACTGAGACTCATCCACATCCCTATCATGTACTGTATACTAGTGACTAACCATAGAGCGGTGAGAGCCTTACCTTGTAATTTATTCAAAGCTTCATGCTTATACTCACTACCACTCAGAACTCTATGAAGCATAAAGTACAAGGTCACCTGTTCTCACCAACCATACATAATACACCTGTACATCTACCCTCTAAAATACATGAAGGTATATAGAGGCAATCAATTATGAATAGCAGAAAAATGATAATCTACATGATGTTATTATGCGCTGTAAAACCAAACAAACAAATAATATTGTAGACCTGGATGTATAGTACATGTACATGTATGTTACAATGTTAATAAACACTTATATTGTATTGACAACATCTTTACAAATGTTTTGAATAAGCCAATCCTGCCTGGTATTTTGTATTCAGATGTGTCTGATCACTTTCCAATCTTTCAAGTAACGAACTCTTTACCACCAAATTACCACACCCACTTGAATAGGAACAATGCGAGTCAAGTTAAACTCCGAATAGACTTTAACTCATTGTGTGAAGATTTAGCATTGTATGATTGGTCTTTGGTAACATCCAAAACCAATGTCAACGAAGCTTACGATACCTTTATTCAAGATTTTAAACAGATGATTTCAAAGCATTCGAAAACAATACCTGGTAAGGATAGACGTACATGTAGATCATCCAAAAAACCATGGATTACGAAAGGCATTCTCAAATCCATTGGTAGAAAGGAACGCTTGTATAAGTGGTATTTAAAACTGAAAAACCCCTCCGTGAAGAAAAAGTACACATCTTTCAGAAATAGGCTTACTCACATTATACGTGTCTCCAAAAAGAACTACTTTGCTGAAAAGCTTGAATCAAATCGCCATGATTTAAAGAACACTTGGAAAACTCTGAACAACCTGCTTGGTAAAGATAGTAAATCGAAATTACCCTCATTCATTCGTAAAGATGGTGTAAGGCTTACTGAACCAAAAGCAATTGCAAATGCATTTAACTCGTTTTTCGTTAATGCTGGTTGTTTTGATGATCCCCAGACCACCGGATGCTTTCGTGACTATTTGAAAACCAGCGTAACGCATTCTTTGTTTCTTTCACCAACAGATCGAAATGAGATCTTGAAGTTATCTTCTTCCTTGAAAAATAAACACTCATGTGGGGTGGATGATATGTCACCATACGTTATAAAGAAGTTAATTTCCTATATTGTTGAACCTTTAACCCATGTGTTTAATTTATCATTTATGTCTGGAACATTTCCTGATTCAATGAAAGTTTCAAAAGTCATACCTTTATTTAAGAAAGGTGATATACATGATTTATCGAACTATCGCCCAATATCATTGCTTTCGACTTTTTCCAAGATTTTAGAAAGACTAATGTACAATCGATTATCTACTTTCCTTCATAAGCATTCAATTATTTTTTCGGAACAGTTTGGGTTTCGAAAATGTTATTCAACAGAGTCAGCTTTACTTTTTGCATCCGAACTTTTGTACAAATTTTATGAAAAAAAAAGAGATAGCTTTAGGAGTGTATGTAGACCTTAGCAAGGCATTCGATTGTTTGGATCACAAAATCTTATTAAGAAAATTAAGTTTTTATGGAATTAGAGGCATTCCATTGGAATGGTTCCAAAGTTATCTGTCTAATAGAACACAATTTGTAAATTATAATGAATCTGACTCTGAATTGCTATTAATGAAGCAAGGTGTTCCTCAAGGTAGTATCTTGGGCCCGTTATTATTTTTGCTCTTCATAAATGACATTGTTGAGTCTTCAAGGAAATTACATTATGTACTGTATGCCGATGACACAAACATCTTTTATTCTGGTAAAAATTTGAAAGACTTAATTTTCGAAGCCAATGTTGAACTTCAAAAGGTTGCTAGCTGGTTTTCATCAAATAAATTAAAAATTAATCAGACCAAAACAAAGTTCATGATATTTAACTTTGGTAAAAAAAATGATACTTTAATTGAAAATGTTAATCTGACAATAGATGGTAACTGTATTGACCAAGTACAATTTGCCAATTTTTTAGGAGTTGCCATTGACAACAAACTTACATGGGCAAAACACATTGAATTAATTTCCAGGAAGATTCGGTCCCAAGTCGGTGTAATGAATAAGCTCAAAAGTTTTCTACCATCCTCTACCATGCTTTCTCTTTACTACACTCTCATATATCCTTACTTAACGTACTGTAATTTAGTTTGGGCGAGAACGTCTAATAATTTATTAAAGCCCCTTATCATACTTCAAAAGCGGGCTGTTCGGTTGTGCTGCAATGCTTCATTCAGGGCGCACACCTCTTCATTATTTAAATCCTTAAATTTACTCAAACTTCCAGATATTCGTTCTCAACGGACTTTATTATTTATGTACAAACTCCAAAATAATTTGCTACCAGTAACGTTTTATGACAGTTTTCATTTGAACTCGGATGTCCACTCCTTTAATACAAGAAAAAAAATGACTTCCATCTACCAAAATTCACTAACTCATTTTTGCAAAATAAATCAATTAGATATCAAGGTCCTCACAAATGGAACTCCATGTCAAGTTATTTAAAGGGTATTAAGAACCAGAACGCATTTAAACTTAAACTGAAAAGAACAATACTTGCCACTTATTGATTTATTGAAATACATAATTGATTCATATATTTTGTTAGCATGAAACATTATTATTATTGTATTGTATTGTATTGTATCGTATTTCATCTTATTGTATTGTATAGTATCTGTATGTTTTTATGTTTGGGGTTGCTTGTTTACAAGTTTTTAACTTATTTTAGCAATCCCGGTATTTATTTATAATGATTTCATTTGTAATGATTTCATTTTGATGTTTTTATCTTTTGCCGAATAAATGTGAATTTGAATTTGAATTTGAATGCAAAATAATGTTTGTTTTTTTGCTGAAAGGACATTCTCTTTTCTTCTTCTCCTGGTTGATTTCATATTTGAAAGAGTTAATTAACTCAACCTAAACATCTTAAGCATTTTCTGTATATGACAACCAATGAATGATGTAACTATTGTTGGGGATTTAATTTTAATATTTCTATATTAAATGCAAAAAAATTGTGAATCTTGGCATTAAATCAGAAAAAAGCTTACCGGAATTGGAGAAGTGCTTGGTGCATGTCTCTGCAAACGCAGTCTTTTATCTTTAATATCCAAATCCTCCATACTATCGCATGATATCACTCCATCGCATGGTATTGGTCGTCTGACCTGAAAGAGAAGGGATTAAAAGATTCTATGACATTGTTTACATCCTGTTATGATAAAGATGTTTATACCAAAACTCCCTGCTTGAAAACATACATAATAGGATACTAGTACAATACGCTAAACTGTGCTGATGATTGATAATATGACACAAAACCAACGTTTGGACTGGAGTAGATAACAAACTGCCTTGGTGTGTGTTGAAATGAAATTATGAAAATTATTCTGGAAGCTAGAATTTATTATGCAAGTACAATAGTACATGTACAGAATTACATTGTTCAAAGAGTTGTTTACATCTCCCTAAATTCTTTAAATCTTTAAAAAACAATACAAATGTTTCACAGGTAATTAATGAAATAAGAAACTTTCTTCACTGTTTCTATTATTTCACCTTTGTTTTGACGATTCTTTACAACTGAAAACTGAAGCTTTCATCAATCCTCTCCTGGTTTCCTCTATCCCTCCCCCTCCTTTATAAACAAAATAAATATGAGCTGGAATGGAACAACGATGGACTGAGGATGCATTCCCGAGCAATGCATTGGTCCTGCCACATCAATTTTGTCTACACATTCAATCAAATTAGTGGAGTGTTCTCCCTCAAACCTTCATGTTATTATACATGCAGTAGGCTATATTGCATTGGATTTCTGAAAAGGGTAGTGTATGTTGACATACTTTCGGCAAGTACTTACCAATCTAAATTCCTTATCTCGGATATATAGGCCTGTATGTCCATGTACAGTTCATAATCACATTGTACATTTAAAGGTAATACAAAGTTTTGGTATGGGGCCATGAATTTGGTTCAAATGAACATGATCGTTATCGCAGTTGAACTGGGGTCTAAAGTTGTGAAATTTTAGATAATAAACTCTTGATGTTGTATAGCTCCCTCTCAAGGTCAAGATATAAAACAATGTTTCTTGACTAAAATCGACTGATGAGCTATTCCCGTTTGGAAATTATATATCACAACTACATATTCTGAGATTTTCATGGTCACAGCTACCATTATACGGCCGTAGTCGCTAATACATTTGAATATTATTTTTTATGCTCTATCAGAAAATGAATAAAAAAATTAGAAATTCTAAAAATAATGTTGATGACGTCACAGCTTTGGTACTCTATTGGTTATGACTTTTCAATTAGGAGCTACCACAGTTGGGTTAACTTTGGATTGATATGCCCTGGCCTGTATAGTACTTGCACATGTATGCATAACAAATGACATGAAATGTAACCTGTTGTAAAGGCATCCTGTAGTTCATTTATTACATTGCATGAATTTATCAAATATATGTACTAGACCGAACAGAAACCAATACTGATGGATTACCTTGCTCTAGATCACGTTGGAAGCGTTGGGTCATTAATCAAACCAAACTCATTAACATATGATTTGTGAACCTACATGTACTGTACATGTACTACTCTTCACACTTAGAGTGTCGCTGTGATAAAATGAAATCTCTGATGATCTGGATACTAGACTATTTTTTCATTTTCATCTACTAGGCGTTGTGGCGTGCGCCTGTAATCCAGCTAACAATGGAAGTTACAAACTGATTCAGCCGAGGACGCAGGTTCGAAACTGAGTCACGTCTCAAAGTCGGTCCCCAGACGTACTAAATAATCATATCTGATCAGGTAGGTACACATCTGTAAAAACCCAATTACACACACACACACACATATACACACACTCTACTGCTTTATTGATTATATTCTATCAGGACAACCTTTTCATGAACTACATGTACATGTACATGTACTGTATGTAAAGTATTTGTATATGGTGCGTCTCAAAAAAATGTAACAAGAGTTTGATTGGCAATATCTTGTAAATTACTCGACTATGCTCAGTAAAATAATAAATTATAATAATAATAATAGTAAGATATTTCTATACCACAAATTGCATTATGTCTCTATTAAAGCAGTTTAGAAGAAAAATAAATGATAAGTAAAGGAAACAGAATTTGCATTACCGTAAATCTCTGTGAATAAGACGCAACTTTTTTCAGCCAAAAAAAATAAATTGAAAGTCGGGGGTGCGTCTGTAAACACAGGCACAAGATTTGATTTTGATTTTTTGATTTTTTTTTTTTTGTTCTTTTCTTTTATTAAGTGTCGTTTTATGCCCCTGCACCTGGCAATGTCTCCCAGCTCAGAAATACATGGAGTGTTGACTCACCACTCGGAAACTAGAACAACACTACCTGTATGTCCGCATTTCTGTTTACCGGTAGACTTCTGTCATCTTTAGTTTTAAAAATGACATTGTTATTAATATTTGTGACAAGTTCACAAGCACTAATCGGAGCCTTCCACTGCACCTCGCAGTAAAATGAAGGTCCTTTCCAGCGTGAGTTTTTGAACTCGGACCTGGCTTGCTGCCTACAGAGTTGGCAACAAAAATAGGGGTGAGTCTGATACGATTTACGGTACAAATTAATTAACCCAAATCAATTAACATTAAACTTTGCAAATGAAAATAATTCATGTACATGTATATAATTACAGATCACTTAAACCAAAATACAAATAGTTCATAAGTTAATAGTATCCTACGTTAATCTACAAAAAATATAAAAAGTAAAGGTCAGAGGGCTATTCAGGAACAAGACTTAAAGAGATGTGTTTTCAGCATTGCTTTAAAAACTTTGAGAACTAGCATTGCAAATTTAAAGGGGGAGATTGTTCTAAAGAAATGTAGCTGTATAAACGAAAGAACATTGACATATTGTTTGTAAGATTAAGAAGTTATTCAAATAACTTTATACAGGCGTGCGCCCTCCTGCCCGCAACCCACCATCGGTATGTACTTGTAGGGTGTGAAAAATGAAATGAACAATCAAAAGAAAAACATTTCAAGAACCAAGGGATTAAAAACGATAGATTTAATATTATTTTGTCAGCACTAAAATACAAATATTCAATGTATTGAAAATAGTGCTGTAGTCAAACGTTTAACCGTCCGGTATCCGACCGCCCATGGCGGATTCCGTTTTCAATTGGACGGTTTCGTTTTCCCGATTTTTTTTTTTTTTTTTTTTTTTTTTTTTTTTAATATTTTTTTTTTTTTTTTTTTTTATAATTTTTTTTTTTTTTTTTTTTTTTTTTTTTTTTTTTTTTAAAGTTTCGATTTATGCCCCTCCACCTGGCACTATGCCTGGCAATGTCTCCCAGCTCAGTAATCTGTGTGTTGACTCACCACCCTAAAACTAGAACAACACTCCAATTTGTCTGTCATCTTGGTTTGAAAGTAATCTTTGTAATAGATCTCATCATCTCAATATGTAGTTTATAATAATAATTCATCCAACTTTTACACAAGGTTCTGTCCTAGGTCCTCTACTGTTTTTAATTTATATTAATGATCTTACACATTCTTCTAAAAACAACATTGTTACTATTATTTGTGACAAGTTCACAAGCACAAATCGGCCCCTTTAAATGCACCTCGCAGTTAAATGAAAGTTGCCGACAGAGTCGGTAAAAAAAAAATAAAAAAAAAAAAAAAAAAAAAAAAAAAAAAAAAAAACGATTTTTTTTTTTTTTTTTTTTTTTTTTTTTTTTTTTATTTTATTTTTTTAAATCGTTTAACCGAAAACCGTCCGGTTTTGACTGGCGGTTAAACGGAATTGGAGATATCCGTGATGTTACAGCACTAATTGAAAAGGACATGCATGGAAATCAATGTGCACGAGCTACGAGTTCGTAATGACGTTATCACAGCATCTCCTTCATAATCATTTTTGCCTTGCGCACAGACTAGAAGGGATGAGATTTAGATAAATAAAAAATAACAACATACGCAGGAAGACTACGGAACACCACTGCATGACTTTCAACACGGCTGTCAATTTAGACCCGTAATTTCCTGAAAAGGGACCATTAAACGCATTATACAGTCAAATTTGGTAAGTGGAACCGAGGTAGTAAAACCTTCTCCTAAGTTTAAATAATCAATGAATGAGGTAAAATTACATTTTGAGGGATTTTGGGGGCAAAACGCTACGACCAGAGTTGGTCGTGGCGTTAGCAAGGACATGTGATTAAACGGTTTCCGTCTCTAAAGAGAGAGCCGGCCGACCCTACCCCAATAAGAGGCTAACGAACGAAAGAGACGGAAAATTCGGTCTACCTTAAGGCTAGCCCAGGCAATAACAAGGCCAAGCCAGGGAATTCATAAATAACTGGCTATGGTCTTACTCTTATGAATTGCACTCTAGCATGCTAGGAGTTAGACCGAATTTTCCGTCTCTTTCGTTCGTTAGCCTCTTATTGGGGTAGGGTCGGCCGGCTCTCTCTTTAGAGACGGAAACCGTCTATACACATTCCCTTGATAACGCCACGGCCATTTCAGGTCGTAGCGTTTTGCCCCCAAAATCCCCCAAAATGTCATTTTACCTCTTGCATGTTATATTGTAAATTAGGCCTAGGCTATAATAAATCAGTTCCACTTACCAACTTGACTGAAATAATCAGTTTAATAGTCCCTTTTTAGGAATTTATGGGTCAAAATCGAAATCCATGTTGAAAAAGATTTTCAAAATGGATTTCGATTTTGACCCATAATTTCCTAAAAAGGGACTATTAAACTGATTATTTCAGTCAAGTTGTTAAGTGGAACCGATGTATTATAGCCTAGGCCTAATTTACATGTGGATATGCACGAGGTAAAATGACATTTTGGGGGATTTTGGGGGCAAAACGCTACGACCTGAAATGGCCGTGGCGTTATCAAGGGAATGTGTATAGACGGTTTCCGTCTCTAAAGAGAGAGCCGACCCTACCCCAATAAGAGGCTAACGAACGAAAGAGACGGAAAATTCGGTCTAGCTAGGAGTAGGACTAGGAAGATAAGTAAGACTTGTGAAATTTGGTTGGCCTTGATCAATCTTCAAAATTATCATTATTGTCTGAACAATCAATAAAGAATGAAACCGACCCGCCCACTCCCCACTCGTGTTCAATGTGCGGTACGGAGTACCGGCCACGTCAGCTCTACTCTGGCCATAACCTTCCGTGGCCTACCATCCAGCTGCCCGTAGGCCCTGTGGGCTAGACAATCGTGCGAATCCGTAAAGAAATAAAAACTTTAGATACATTCTTGATATAAAGATTTCTTCGAGTCAAATCCTTACCTGTCCGCTAGAATATTATTTTCAATCAATCAGCTGCTCTAAAATTACACCAGGTAGTGATCAAGAGGGTTAAACAGGCAAAATTCGGTGGATTAAGAGTCCCGGAGCTCCGAACCGACGGCAGGCGCACTGTATCGACAGGAAGTGCAAAACAAGTGTTGCATTAATTGCGCACGCGAAAATTGAAAATTATATTTCCTTCGAGTCAGCGGTAGAATACATGTGAAGATATTTCTAAAACAAAACCATGAGTGATAAATTTAAGTTTCACAAGAGAAACATACCGGTAGGCAGGGGCAGAGATTTCTTTTCATGACCGGGGGGCGCGGGACGAAATGCGAGGGACGAGAGAGCATTGGCGTAATGAGCAAAAACGTTTGGGGGGGGCAGATAAAAAAAACACGCATCACCCCCCCCCCCACTCTTACATGTTACTTCAAAGTGGGGGGGGGGGGGCTAAAGTATTTATGATCAGGTAGAGTAAAGCGAGCAAAGCAAGCGGAGCGTATATTGGCGTGGCATTCAGGGGAAAAACCCCCCTCCCTTTTGGTTTTTTGTATGTGTGTATTTTTGCGTACGCAGGGGGGGGGGTTAAACCCCCCCCCCCCCCTCTTGGTTTTTTTTACGTGTGTATTTCTGAGGAAACCCCCCCACCCTTGGTAATTTTTTTTTTAAAGACCAAAAAGTGTCCCCTTACCCCCCCCCCCCCCCGCTTATTCAGCAGCTGGCTGAGTTGTTGCGATTTTTTTGGGACCCCCCCCCCCCGAAAAAATTGTCCTCTTTCTTGTTAGAATCAGCCCTAAATTCGCCCAAAATATACTGAAAAACAGGGGCGTGCCCCCCCCCCCCCTCCCCCCCCCCCTCCCCCCCTCCCCCCCCCCCAGCCAAAAAAAAAATATGCCTACCGGTATGCCCCCCAACGGACCAAAATGTAAAATGTAAAATTTCGTGACCAAAAAAAAAGTGTCCTCTTCCCCCCCCCCCCCCCCCCCCCCCCCCGCTTATTCAGCGGCTGGCTGAGTCGTTGCGATTTTTTTTGGGACTAAAAAAAATATATATATGTGTTATCTTTCACACAGTGTGCCCCGATCCCCCCCCCCCCCCCCCCCGGGCAAGAAATTCCTGGATCGGCGCCTGGACATTTTTGAAGGTTGATGAAAAAAAAATTTGCTTAATTTTTGTATAAAATGTTATTTACTATATTCCTTTTACTGTACTAACCCCCTGACATGCCAAAAATCCTGAAAAAAATTCTCAAACCACGAAGATATCTATGGTTTTCTTTGAAGGAGTCGATGTATGACACCCTCTAACAGTGATTAACATTTAATTCTCCCAACCATTTTTGAATTTTCCCAACTTTTTCCATGAAAAAAAAGACATAAAACAGGCTATAAAAAATCTGTCAACACTTAAATGTCTGGAATGGAATGTAAAGCCATTTTATTGCTTTGTGACGATTTCCATTCACCTAAAATGTAATTAAATTGTAATAATATAGTTGGGAAAATTAAGGAATCGATCAGATCAGTTTTTCCCAATTTGTACCATGAATAATGGTCCGTTTTCACTCAAATTTTCAGATTATCTTTAATTGTACATTTAGCATTGAAGTCACTACCTTAGCACCACTATCTCTCATCTGAATAATGTTACCAAGTCCCTTTAATAAATAAAAGCAGAATAATTATTTTGCTCTCCAAGTGCATTACACTGTAAAGATAACAATTTGTTATATGTAATGTCAATTAATTTTGTAGGTGTAATTATAGGTGCATTAATTGGTTTACTTCCTCATAAATATTTTTTGTCATTTGCTTATCTGTTTTGTTATTTATTGTTGTTTTAATGTTGTTTATATATTCAAATTTGTTATGATTGTACAAAACTGTAGAGAAATTTACAATTTATAATGCGCTTTATAAATATACACTATTATTATAAATAAGTTTTGAGATTTATCTTAAATGTTGATACTGGGGTGCAGGAATGAATGCGTAATGGGAGACTATTCCAAATAGTGGGACCAGAAAAAATTATATTTTGTTGACCCTTCTTCGAATTGATGCGGGGGATTTGCAGAAGAAGAGGGTCTGACCTTGAGCGTAATGAATATCTTGATTGCTGGATGGGACAAAACAGAATAGAAATATATAGGATGGGATAAGGCTATACATGGATTAATCGTTGTCTGAATTCATGTTCGCCCATCCCGCGCTAAGCGCGGAAGCTTTCAAGTTTCATTAAATTATTAGAGAAAGGAGACGATTCGTTGTACCGTTCTCGAATCTTAATCCTAGTCTGAATTCAGTTGCCCCCGCCCGCGCAAAGCGCGGAAGCTTTGACGTTTCATTAACTATTAGAGAAAGAAGACGATTTGTTGTATTGTTTTCGACTCTTAATCCTTATCTGAATTCATTTTTCCCCTCCCGCGCGAAGCTTTGACGTTTCATTAAATTATTAGGGAAAGAAGACGATTCGTTGTACTGTTTTCGACTATTAATCCTTGTCTGCATTCAGTTGCCTCCCTCCCGAGCAAAGCGCGGAAGCCTCGACGTTTCTTTAAATTACTAAGAAGACGATTCGTTGTACTATTTTCGACTCTCAATCCATGTCTGAATTCAGTCCCCCCCTCCCCCCCCCCCCCCCGCCCGTGCAAAAATATTAGAGAGAGAGAAGACGATTCGTTGTACAGACTCTTAATCATTGTCTGAATTTAAAAAAAATGTTTCTTTGTCCGATAAAAAGTCACAGTTCGGAGGAGAAAAATATTTGCCGGCCGACCGACATAATACATCTCACCGACTTCAACCTTCTGCATTGACATATTACACGAGGATCGAGCAAGAATACCGACACAGCAACATAATTATCTTTGCGTATTTCTTTCTTGCCCCCTCGACGTGGTGACTCTACCCAACATCCCTCTCTCTCTCTCTTACTCCCACCCCTCTTCTCTCAGGCTCCTACCCCCTCTCTCTCCTCTATTTCCTCCCCCATTTCTTTTGTTTCCTTTTCTTTCTTTTCCTCTCCTCCTCTTTTTCTTTCTTTCTTCTCTGCTCTTTCCTTTCTTTCCCCCTTTCTTATTTTCCCCCTTCCCCTTTTCTCATTTTTCCTGACAGCAGCGCAATTTTTACTGAAAATATCCTGACAGGTGGGGCGACGCCCCTTCTTATGATATCATCACCCTTTCTTTCTTTTCCCTTCTCATTATTCTCCTTTTCCCCCTTTTCTCACCTCTCTCTCTCTTCCCCTTTCTTCCTTTCCCCCTCCTTTTCTCTCCTTCCTCTTTTCTTCTTCTTTCTATCTTCCCTTTTCCCCTCCTTTTTTACGGGGGATGGGGGGGGGGGCACTTTCCCCTCCCCTGAATCGGCTGCTGATATCAATGGTCAAAATCATATTGTGTACTTGCCTTTTTCTGTTTTCTTTGTTATACCCTCACCCCTTTTCCCCTCTGTCTCTTTCTCTGTCATTCACCCCCCCCCCCCCCTCTCTGTCTCTTTCTCTCCCCTCTTTGTATCAGTCTCCCCTCTCTCTCTCTCTCTCTCTCTCTAATCATGGACCTACTTTTCGTAGTAGGTCCATGCTCTAATACATGCCCTTCTGCCTACTATCTAATAACATCCCACTATCCCTGTATCCCTCTTAAACGGAATCACTTATTTTGAAGAAAAAGAAAAAGTCAAAAATAGTATAAAAAAGTCTAAAATATGATAATTTTAATATAAAAAATTCAATCTCCTATACCATTTTCTATATTCCTTATCTCATATATATACAAATTTGTCAAAAGATACATATTCAAGAATGCATTGCCACTCAAACTTACATCTTTTTGTCTTACAATTTTACACCATATTCCGTAAACTTGAAATGCAGTACATTATTGTTATGCTACTATATGGCAGTTCTGGGAACAGGGATTTAATTCCAATTCTAATATGAACATTCTGGTCAGATGCTAATTTTGATAAAATTGGTCCAAAGCATGACATAACATTTCAAACCACAGTGAAAAGATAAACAACTGTCCATGGAACTTATGAAACACTTCAGATGGAAAGAGAATCAATTCAACCGTAGAAAAGGAAATTGCATAGGTACTTGAAATGCATAATAAATATTCCCAATATGTTATGCTTTTTAAAAAATGGTTGTTACGCTACACAATGGCAGTTCTGAGCACAGTGATTGATTCAAATTCTTATTTGACACAAGAATGATATTCTGGTCAGAGAGTTGGTGTTATAGGTAAAAAAAAAAATCCTAATGCATTCACAGCATTCCTAACTCTAACATCACATTTCAAACCATGGTGGTGTAAGACTGTCCAAAAAAAATATAAAATACATTTGAGTGAAAGAGATTCATGCACAATTTATTCATTTATTTATTTCTGACATTTATAATCACTAATAGAGGTGGTCTTCCATTCAATCATGTAGATTTGCATAAGAACAGTACTTACATTTGGAATAGCATTCATCAGCTGCAAATACAATATGTATGATTGCATAACAATACCTTACTGAAAGAACAAAGAGTGGATACATTTCCACTTTCATACATACATCATCGCTCATTAAGTAAGTATCATGAATTTAAATACAGATATGTAGTATATCACATACTTGTCTAATCTCCTCTTCATATCATATCTATTAATCAAGACTTGGGTCATTTGGGTCAAAATATTTCTTATTCACTTCATTTCATTTTGAGGAATATGTTTATTTGAGGCAAAATTTAGACAAAAGTGCTAACATACCAGCATATTTAAGATACCCTAGATTGAGTGTAAATTTACTTTTAAAGAGTAGAGAAGATAATTTTGCATCTCAACCAATTTTGGGGATACATTCAGTATTCCCACTCCCACATAACTTCCCAATAATTCATGGACTCTTAGAAATGAATACTGATTCAGAATGAGTAAAAGGAACATTGAAATGAAGGTTAAAGTTGTCTGGGCTGGCCATATAAACCTTTATGTTCTTTCAAGACTAATAGAAGACTTCGTAAAGTTTATTATTAATCATTCTTCGTAAGAAGAGATTTAAGAACAAAACATCAGCACATCTTGTGCTTTTAGGAAAAATACACTGATGATAATGCAACTGATAATGGAAGTGAGTAGAGGTATTCAATACATACCTACACTTTGTTTGTTCGTGTCTCCTTAGATTAAGATAGTTATGTAAAGTTCCTTAATTAAATTAAATTAAATTAAATTAAGTTCTTCCACCGCCCGATTGCTGCAATGGCCGTTTCAATCACAAGGGCCAGGTCTTCATCTGTGCAACCCGTCCTGCCGCACTGCAAGATGTGGTCCATCCTCTGAGTCTCTCACTGTCAACTAAGGATAACTATATAAGTCTCTAGATAGCCCTCTATCAACTCTGTACAACTTGCTTTCTCCTTGCCTTAGACCTTGTTACTCTGTGAGTCAATGCAGGATAGTCTTCAGTTGCAGAAGGATCTATAGTCTCTTGATAGCCCTCTATCAACTCTGTACAACTTGCTTTCTCCTTGCCTTAGACCTTGTTACTCTGTGACTCAATGCAGGAGAGACTTCAGTTGCAGAAGGATCTAAAGTCTCTTGAGAGCCCTCTATCAACTCTGTACAACTTGCTTTCTCCTTGCCTTAGACCTTGTTACTCTGTGACTCAATGCAGGAGAGTCTTTAGTTGCAGAAGGATCTAAAGTCTCTTGATAGCCCTATTAACTCTGTACAACTTGCTTTCTCCTTGCCTTAGACCTTGTTACTCTGTGACTCAATGCAGGATAGTCTTTAGTTGCAGAAAGATCTAAAGTCTCTTGATAGCCCTCTATCAACTCTGTACAACTTGCTTTCTCCTTGCCTTAGACCTTGTTACTCTGTGACTCAATGCAGGATAGTCTTTAGTTGCAGAAGGATCTAAAGTCTCTTGATAGCCCTATTAACTCTGTACAACTTGCTTTCTCCTTGCCTTAGACCTTGTTACTCTGTGACTCAATGCAGGATAGTCTTTAGTTGCAGAAAGATCTAAAGTCTCTTGATAGCCCTCTATCAACTCTGTACAACTTGCTTTCTCCTTGCCTTAGACCTTGTTACTCTGTGACTCAATGCAGGATAGTCTTTAGTTGCAGAAGGATCTAAAGTCTCTTGATAGCCCTCTATCAACTCTGTACAACTTGCTCTCTCCTTGCCTTAGACCTTGTTACTCTGTGACTCAATGCAGGATAGTCTTTAGTTGCAGAAGGATCTAAAGTCTCTTGATAGCCCTCTATCAACTCTGTACAACTTGCTTTCTCCTTGCCTTAGACCTTGTTACTCTGTGACTCAATGCAGGATAGTCTTTAGTTGCAGAAGGATCTACAGTCCTAGTGGTAGCAGAAGGGCATTCCGTTCCTTTGGTCGATGACTTTACTTCTGGCATTCCAGGAACCATGTCAATATACTGTCAAGAAATGCAATGCAAAGAACACAAGTTAAAGTAAATTGAATATGAATATTTCCACTGATCATCCTGAACTATTGTTATTAAAGAATGGGTGGCCCTGCATGGGTCTCTACATCCAGATGCTTGCAAATCTTGGAACAAGACATAAGAAGAGAGCCACTGGCTTTACCAAAGTGGATACTAAACACCAGAAGGCTTGAAGAAAAAATGGACGTAAACAAATAATTATGATGATGTTCACCTTTTTTTCTATCACCCTTGTATTTTAGATAGAAAATATTCTACAACTTTGTTCCTGCTAGTATAGCTATTTACTGAATCTGGATGAAAGACAGTTATAGATACAATTATCTTGTCTATTACTAAGAACATAAACATCCGACTAGGACTCAAATCTACAGGCTCTTGGTTTGAACTCTGAGAAGAGGCTTTTTTCTAGAGTGACCCCAAAACCACAGCCCCATGAAGAAACTTAGCAATTCATGCATCTTGTTACAGTTTGAATTTAATATCACCCAGTGGTCCTTTGGTTTGTAGTTAGCATATGAAACAAATGACCCCAAATATCCCAAGATCGTTAAGAAATGGAGAGGTACCACTATCAATCTCAAAGAGATGGAGGTGCTTCATAAATAGACTTGTTTTTTCTTTTCAAAAAAGTACTTCCATCTGTGCATCATGGAATGCACCATTTTTGTAAGATTGTAAAGACAGAAAATATCCTTCTTTGACAAGATCAATAATTGTACTTTCTATATTTGCTCCATATTATTGGAACACTACGCATACACTGGGGGCTGATTTTCGAACGTGAGAACTTGATACCTTTGAAACAAGGTAACTATAGGTATGAAGACGCCTTACCTCTCTCGGAGAAAACCACTCCAAGAACCAGAAGAAAATGAAGTTGATCGCTGCAAGAAGAACAAAGAATTTTCCTGCTGCTGGTCCACACTTGTAGTAGCAATCAAACCGTTGTGGCAGGCTAAGAGTTTCATCATTCAATATGCTGTCATAAACCTGAACAAACAAACAAAAACAAAACAATCATTAACAGCGGATACAACCATCCAACCATCTGATGGTCATGTGATTATGAATGGGACACAGTATACAAATGATATGCACAGGTTTGAGTGCGTCAGTAGGGATTGTGTGCACAGGGTACCTTTGAATGGTTTTAGACCAAATTCAAAGGTACCGCGTGCACACAATTCCACCGACCCACGAATTGAACCTGTGCATCATCTGTTTTATAAGATGCAAAATACAAAATTTTGTTATTTTACAGATTTACCGAATGCATGGCAAAATCATGCGTCCGGTAATTTTTTTTACCCGACGCATGATTTTTTTTACCGGAGGCATGATTTTTAACTTATCATGAAATTAAAAAAAAAAAAAAAATTGTCAGTGCACATTAAACTGTAAACTTTAAAAAAAAGAAAAAAAAAAAAATTGTATATTTTTTTTCTTTTTTTCGAACAGACTATAATTATCAAAAAACATGAAAAACAAATAATTATCACCAAAAAAAAAAATATAAAAAAGAAAAAAAAAAGAAAGAGAATTATTAAAAAAAAAAGGATATCGGTGGTATGGATCGGTGGTATCGATCACCGATATCGCATGAATCAAGTAAAATTAATTACATGGTAATTGACCAATCAGATTGCAGGGATTCTTCTACCCATCTTATAAAATATAATGTTACATAAAATGGCAGTTACAATAGAAACAAATCAAATGTGCAATATTTATGTTTCATGATAATTATAACAACGAAAATCATGATATTGATGCTACAGATTATATTATATTTTTCACGGAAATAAAAATAATATGAATATGTTTATAATCATGATGGCAATGATAGAGGGAACAAAATGATGATTTGTGTATTGTTTAATGTTTAGTAACGAATATATTTTTTATTTTTTATTATAAAAAAGGGTCAACCTTTATATAAGGATTCTGCTTTTCCTTTCAGGTTGCAATCTATTCAGTTTATTTTTATGTTATGAAATGTCTTTTTAACTGAATGAAATAAAATTGAATTGAATTGAATTGATTTGATCAAAAGAATATGTGCTACCATGGTTTCTTTTATTATTTTGAAGATCATCAGGATCAAATGTGATACAAGGATAAAGATAAATTTGGAGTTAGTATTTTTATAAATAATTTTAAAAAGGTCACAACAGTCCATATCTAGTGACGAATTTCTTCAAACGGAACCTACTTTCTCTGTTCTCTTGGCAACATTTTGCCAGGTATAGACATGAGCCATGCGTTGATAGACGGCCTCAGGACACAGAAAGGTTCCCATTCTTCTCCTTGATATGGCTTCTTCTAATCCACTCAAGATACCTGGGGTGGAATAAAACCAATGTTGTTTGTTGGCTGTCTCCTCAAGTATTAAAAGGATCAATTGATAAATAACACCAATAAGCATCTTTTAATTAGCATGGATAAAAAGAAATCACCCTATAAAATGCAGTCAAACAACAGGATCTTGTCATATATCTTGGTCAGGAGAAAGAAAATGTGTATGTGTGTCTCTACGCTTGACAACCTTTTAAACCATGCAGGTAAATTAAAATTTAGGATATTATGCACGCTCTATCTAACAGTGTTCAGATCTTGTATATAATTATATGAAGTTATGAAGTATACTAAAAATATAAATATAATAATCTTCTAAATAGATTTACTTTCACTTGATCTATATTTCAATGCCCAGTTATCCCAGGTTTAGAAGTCAGATGATTAACCAACATACCTTTTACACTAGGTTCAACAAGTAGTATAAGATCTTCAGGCAAGACTTCTGGCACTCCTCCTACTCTCGTACTCACAACCTGTAATCTGTAAAGGGAAAACAAATGTCCAGCAATTCCAAAGAAAAAACCTACAAATTGAACAAATAGTACCATTCCTCTGCCTCCATACAGATAATGGTAGATAAAAACATGAAACATTCACATCTATTCCAAATAAAATGGATGCTCAATGCGCCTGTGTTATTATCAGGGTTGTTGGGTTCGTATCAAAATTTAAGCAGTATTCCTAATCAAAGACATGGTACTGAAAATCCATTAAAAAAACTGTCACAGCTGAGCTATTTCTAGGTTCTTAAGAAGTGAGCATAAATACATGTACACGTTTCTATTAAACCACAGCAACTCCACATATCATAACTAATAATGTACTTTATACTCCTCATTTTCTAATCAATCCAAACGATCACACAAAATACAAAAGGGTCAAACTAATCTTTCTTCCTGTCTTTATAATTCCTTAACATCTCTGATACGGCTTCTAGAGTACTGCCTCAAATCTTAGAAACCACCTACCTAAGTCTGAAATACATGCAACCAATTGGACTCCATGAAAGAACAGAGCCATTAGGTTAATGGCTCTGAAATGGACTACCCAGCCGTTTTATCATTCTATCATTGTTATATAAGTCTTTGATTTTGTTATATTATGTTATTGTTTTTTATGATGATTTTCGGAAATAAAACAAACAAAAACAAGATATGGTTGAAATACACCTTAGAACCAATTATTCAACTGAAGAAAAGAGACAAATCATGATCTTTGTTCAAACATACCCACAAAGAGTTGCTTCCACAATGGCTATACAAAAGGCTTCAGTTAGTGATGCATTGATGAATATGTCTCCTTGGTTCAGCACCTGATATAGTAAGTAACAATATAAAATCACTTTACCACATATAACTTCAGTTGGGTCAAAGCATGGCGAAATACAAGTATTGTTCTGGAGATACTAACTATAATATATTGGAAAGATGGAAGATTGATTCACGATACTAATAGTCTTCCTCATATTTTCACAAATTGTCCAGAAATGCACAACAAAATACTTTTAGATTTAGGTTTCTGTGCAATAAACTAAGAGCATGCATTTGACATGCATGCAGAAAAGTTAAAAAAAGTAAAGCCACAAAGGTAAACGGTCACATTTTCAAATAAAGTGTGCAGATTCTGATTGTTTTCACAGATATTATATGGTCTATCATACCATGCATATTCACGTACCTTAGAACATAGATTGGATGCAAACCATGAATGATATCAAGAACTCAAACCAAACCATGCATTATTATTATTAAGCTCACAATACAGAACAAGAATTAGACGGAGGGGGAGAAAAGTAGTGAAAGCTTGACTGAATATCTTCCTCACGTTTTTGACATTCGAATGTTGGACAGCCCCCAGCATAGTGACCCGTTCCTGGAGCAGGTAACGCTCTCTTACTTCTTCAATATTGATTCTCATCGGCCCATCTCCACCTGCAGAGAGTACACAAGTACAGATGAACATATCAATTTGCAAATACCGGTACATCATAGGAAATCAGTAACATCTAAAAGCTACAACAAACAAGTCTGAAGATACCAAGCAGTGAAAGATTCTTTAACTTGTGGTGTATCAAATTTCAAATTTAAAATTTATTCATGTTTCCAACAAAACATTACAAATCAATTATATGCATTTAAAACAAATGTAAGAAATACATGTTGGAAACAGAGGGTCCACTAAAAAGCAATGCTTGTACAAGTGTGAACACCTCAAATATTACTTAGGAATAATGAGTAATTAAATTAACTATTCTGTAACTACAAAAGGAACTACAAAATAGGGGAAAGAAAATGGGGGATGCCAACAGAGACGAGAAAGGGACAAGACAATACTTTACACGACAAAGATAGAAGAACACGGTCATAATACAAAGAGTAGACAATGACAAAAAGAAGTGAGAGATCGAGGGTACAGAAAATAATACAAAATGATGAGCTGCAAGTGGGGTTGAGAAGAAGATAAGGAAAGAGAAAGGAAAGAGAAATGCGTGTTAGAAAGGAAATAAGCATAGGAAGGCACAATATAATACATCAAATTACATTTTGAGTCAGCGACTTATTCAAGTCATATCATAACTGAAATGTGTTCAATTCTTTTTGTTTACTATCTAGAACTCTGATTTCCTAAATGAAGGAAGTTCTCATATTACATATTACATTAAATTAGAAAAAGAGAAAAACAGCAATTTTTTCACAAAATTATTTTACTTTGAAACATAATACTGATGTTTTGATACAGATAGGAGACCCTTTGTTAAGAAAAATTAAGATTGATATTCTATTTGTCATGAAATGTGCTTTTCACATTCAATTGTCACTGTTCCATGACCTTCTTAAATTAGTTTTTAACCAAATGAGTACTGAATTTATATAGGCTTGATGTAGGAGACACACAGTTCCAGTGTGCAATGGGTTAAATGAGTCTGTAGAGAGTTTCTAGAAATTGAAGAAGGACTGGGATCTTACCAATGAGGAAATCTACATCTTGATGTGTTTCGCATATGATAGGAATGATGGCGGCAAGTAGATCCATACCCTTCCTGTACACCAGACGACTCACTATCACGATTGTTACTTTACAAACAAACAAAATACAAAATCACAGACGTTAGTTACATTTTCCTATGATAAGAATAAGAATAAGGAGAATAACAACCAGTGATTAATACTTCTGAAAAATGTCAATGTTGTTCGGGATACTACTGCATGTTTTTATCTTGAATATCACTCTTCAACCATGGTATTCATCCTGAAAGTATTCCTCATGTACGTTCAAAATTGAATATTATGTCCATAATCATATTTTATTCCACAAGAAACAATGCAAGTCAATATACAGGTGTCTTTAAGGATACATTCAGACCATAATTTTTTCAATATATGTCATCTATTCTACTTTTACTTGTGGCTATTTCCTTAAAAATTAAATCCATTAATGTTCATAGAGTAACATTCCATTCTTTAATACTGTATCTACTGTCTTTCACTTGCCCTACACTACTTTTCAGTCTATTCTCTCTTTGTGACACTCATCACTTGCTCCATCTCCATTTTTTAAAATTCTTTGTGGTTCTGAATATCTCTCTCCCTCTCTCTCTCTCTCTCTCTCTCTCTCTCTCCCTCTTTGTCTACCTGTCTGTCTCTCTCACACACTATCTCTGTCTGTCTGTCTGTTTATGTCTGTCTCTCTCTCTCTCTCCCTCTAAGTCACTCACTCTTACTCACTTCTATCATGTTTCCTCTTGGACGTATCAGGTTTGAAGACGGTAGGATCCACAGCATTGGGTATGACCGAGACCAGACTAGGTGACATAGATGCCCTCAGGACAGTGTTCTCTTTACTATGATGAGAAAAACAAATTATTACTATTACTACTTATAACACACTTTTTCCATAAGGCCCAAAATTCTTACAGTAAATGACAATTACATAAATACATGTAATAAAAAAAAACAATTTTACAACTACAAACTGCAAAAAAGTTGTGTTTTCAAGGCCTTTCTGAAGGTAATAACTGATGAAGACTGTCTGTCTAATTCTAAGTGGTAGATCATTCCAGTATTTTGAAGCAGATCAAGAGTAATTCAAAAATTATAGTTTGTTTCAAAGATGTTTCAAAAATGTTATTATGGTAGTCCTGTGAACAAATAAAGTATGCAATGTATTTCTACTCTTGTTATATCTTCAATTACAATTCTGCAATTCATATTAACAAAATATCAGTATGTTATATTTTTTATTATGTAACATTGTAAGTTTGGTGCTGTTATTCTAGCTCTCTATTAGGTAGAAGTGCTATGCTTTAACTGATAGTTGCTAGGACAACAGCACCATAGCCCCTAGAAACATAGTATTAGACACGTTAAAAATTCACCTTATTATTACATAGAAACTATTGTATATGTCATGTGAGAATAAATGTGTTGTAGTATACAGGTCAGGAATTCAAAAACAATTTGTACTCGTTAGAATGTTTTTAGCACATATCATCTGTCAAGAACCAGAAAGGCATACAATGCCAAACAATATCAGTGCAAAAAGACTTTGTAATGTTTCTATAAGTGCCTCAACTTAATATCTTAAAAAAATCACTGCAAATACACAAAATACGTAAAGAAATAGACTTTCTATCACCAACCTTGTGTGTGACACACAGATCACATGATTGACATCAGCCAATGAGAACTGAAGGATGGCGTTGGTGATGATGGAACTCGCATCAGCGAAACCAAAGAGAGAATGGTCTGTAAAGACTGTCTTTAAACCCATGGTCTTAGCATGAAACATCGCTTCATGGGCCATTGTAGAGAACGACTAAAAAGAAAGAGATATTATAACTTGAAGCTTAATACATGATCAGGAACTCCAAAATGATCTACATGAGGGAGAAAATAATCATCTAATTGTCGCCCCTATCCCTCTCCTGTTTAACCTACATGTATCTTTCTGAAACTATTGCCATGATACATGGCATACATGTACTTTCAATCCCTGCCAATATGATATAAACTCTCCTTTTGTTAATCTCTTCTTGCTCCACATCTAAAAGTTTGTGGAATGAAAATGAAAAAAATGTGCACAAGGGTTCTTTAACCTATGATTGTAAACGGCCCGAGGGCTATATTTGTGGAGTTCCCCATGATTTAATTTTCAAATTTTGTGTATCATTTATTTGTGTTTATGATGATTGTATGATCGAGAATGAAATAAATCAAATGAAACCAATGGTGTAACCCAGAGCACACCACATCATAACATTTAGTGTCTGTGGGTAATCAGTGACGATCCCTCAGAAAGAATTTAACCCGTTTCCTACTAGAACCAATTGGCTCCTGTATTAAAGCTTATGGGAAAGAGAGAATGCAGAAGTCAATGGGTTCAAGTTATACATCCCCTTGAACTTACCAACAATCATATATGTGATTATATGGTTCTGAAGCACTCAAGTTATACAAAAAAAGCTGTATGTATAAATAATACTAATGGACAAATGAAGATTTCGATATTCATAACACAGTCATTTGCTAACATTTTTAAAACATCACTTTATTTAATATGAATCAATATCAAAATCAATTAAAGAACATGAGTATAAATATGGAACACATATACTTACTGAGTGCCCATGAACGATGGAGATGTTTTCTCTGATGAGTATATTCCTAATAAGAGGCAGGGTTGTAAACACTGTAGGTAGGACACACTGGTTGTAGAATGGTCCAAATGGCAAGTAATATACCTAGAGGGGAGTAAGAAGGCTAGCATCATAATGAAAACTCATGTTAATAATTGCTAGCCGAAGTTTGAGGATTTTGCTTTAAAAAATCAGTGAAAAATATGGCAGAGGGGAATCTATACAAAATGTAGTAATAATGAAAGGAAGCTCATTATTGAAATAACTGCTCTCTAGAATGTTATTGTTATAGAAATGTTATAATGTATAAAAATACTCCTACCTTGAGAAAGTTTGTAAGGTATCTGATCCCTGTTCTTTCACCGTATGCATGGGTGATCACAACCACCTGAGATACAAGAGAAGAGTTATACAATGACACAGATATGTTCATAATTGTTTCAAGTTGATGGTGCTTTTTACACAAAGAGCCCAGAGTTTTTTTATGACATCAATCAGTATGGGGTATGCAGGAAAAGAGACCGGAAGTTGCCTTTTTATACCAAATAATCCCAATCATGATAATTTGCAACAAATGACAAACCATTAGAAAAAGAATACATATTTGTGATTTGTAATGCAATATGCTTTACATTTTATCAATTGTTTTTGTACACAGTATGAACATTGGATTGGATTCATCTGCTAACCCCCTACCCACAGGAACTGGGTGGCTACTGTAATAATAAAGCCAATACACATTGAGAGAATACAGAAGTCAATAGGTTAAGCTGAACTTGACCATTATCCAGATGAAAAAGAGGTCTTGTATATATTCCAATATGGAATCTTTATATTGTTTATATGACTGATGATAGCAAAGTTCTAAAAATTCACCACTGAATAGAATACAAGATTTGTATGCAACTTAGTTTTTAAATAAGACTGGGATACAGTGTAATTTATAAGCAAAATAAACTGTCCAATAAAAACGTACAAATTATTTATTGATGTGACATGATTTATACAATGCTTACACATTTTATTACATAAAGTCAATACATACCTTATGACCTCTGGCTAACAAACATTGTGATAACTGATAGATATGACTCTCAACACCTCCAGTATTAGGGAAGAAAAAGTCTGACACCATACTGATAAAAAGAAGATAAATATATCATGTTTTTTCTTGGCACCATAAATATAAATCGCGTCCTGGTGATCTTTTAGTACACATTCCAATGAGAACACCCAGCAGCATTTCACATTTGAAACTCGATATGCTGTAGCTGAACAATATGGCTTGTCTTTGTCTTTTTTTGTCTTTAATAATCTTTCCTATAATTTGTTTTTCTTGCACCTTTACCATATACCCTCGTTTATTTGTCTTATTTTGTATCAATTAAAGGAATGCCTTTTTTATATTTCATATAGAGGGGTCTAGGCAGGCTTTTGTCTTCCCAGGACCCAGCTGTCCCCATTCATATATAACAACTGTATTATTTCATATGTGTATGTGTTTGCTCTCTGCTTTTATGTTTCATCGTACCTAGTTTTTATGACTTACCATTTTATTGTGTGCTTGAAAAAAAAGACGCTATTGATCTAGAGGGTAGAGGTCAATGGGATAGAACAGTGGCGGATCCAGGATGGGAGCCCGGGGGTACGGGCCCCTCCCCTGGCCCCCAAAATATGTTAAAAAAAGAAGATAGTAACATTAATTTTACCTTAAAAAAACAAACAAAAAGACGGGCCGGTGCTCAAGTGCAGAGCTACCAAGTGTCACACATTTCGAGGGTCTGAAAACGCTCTCACGCACAACAGGATTTAAACTTGGGGTCTCTGCAAGTGGGGGTAGGAAGTGTTGACTAAAAAAAAAATAGACCTCGATACCCCCCCCCCCCCCCCCCCACCCCTCCCCCCGTTGAGCCAACACAAAAATTAATGCTCACATTAAAAGTTGTCATATTGACCACGCCCATCAAGTTAAAGGGGGAGAAAAAGGGAACAAGTCATACTAACACAAAACATATTATTTGGGACTACACTACGTCTATTTTCAACACACGGGGCTGTAATGGGAGGGGCAGCAAAACTTACCAAACGTTATGCTTCATTTTAGTATCAAAGTTTGACTCGATTACAAGGTTATTCCCGGTGATGGAAAAACTTCAGGTGGAATCATCATCCAATATTCGTACCCATTGTTCTGTGGATGATTCAACGGTGAAATATTATTTTAAAGATGATTTTCTAAGAAGGAAGCGAGGTGATCATTGACACGTAAACTTCAGAAACTTGAGCATATGTTTTCGTTCCTTGAACACAAGTACGAATATAATGGCCAGTGTTGAAGAACTTCGTGCTAAAATCCAACAATTGGAAGAGGAACTACAAGCAGAGAAGGACAGAAATGTTTCTTCGGCAGGAAGACAGAAAATAGAGACGATGAGCTCGGAAGTAGTTGACAGTAATCCATACAGGTAAACAAACTAGTGTCCCATACATTAGGTTTTGTGTTAGTCATTAAGTGATATAGACTAGACACTAGATCTAGACTGCATAGATTCTCAACATGTCAAACTCCACTGTACAAAACTCAAGTCAGTTCACTCGAAATCGGTACTTTAGTGACAATTGATGACACCTAGACTAATTAGCATTAAAATACAATCTATTTTGAAAATCAAAAGAGAACTTGCGCATTGAGCGCTGTACAGTGAGTTCACGTGCTCTCATTGGCCGATCCGCTCGAGTGGCTTCAATTTTAAGTGATAGAGGGCCTACTTAACTTAAGCGCAACTTAAGTTCAATGGCAAATTCAATACGTAAGATTACGTCACACCACAGAGATTTTGACACTTCCTGCTTTAAACAGGTGACGCCCTTCACTCATAACTGACCCACACATGGCATTGCAAACACAAAAATAGAAAAATCAACAAACATCTCGGTATAAATTTCCAGTTTGTACCTAAATATGACAAAAATGAGAATTGTTCAAACTTAAAAAATAGTTACTTAAGACTTAAACTAAGTGAAATATTTAACCTGTTAAGGATGCTGATAAAATAGAGGGTTTGAGTGATATATCATGATAATTGTATCGGATCAAACGGGAAATCGCAAGCTTTCTCCTCGCAACAATATCTTATAACATTGAGCAAATGACAACCAGTGATAGCCAACTAGAAGGGAACTTGTCGGCACCAATTTAGGAATATGAGGCTGCAATTTTGCCGAGATCGGATAAGCGTTATGCGCATGCCTAAATGTAAGCTAAAATTTGTATGTGTGTCAAACTTGTCAGTGAAATGTTGAGAATTAATAGAGGTCCTCTAAACAGTTCTTAATACACAAAAAGTATACTTACATTACTGCTCTGTGTAAGTATATGTACAGACAGAAAAATCTGTCTGCTTGGAAGAGTTTGTAAAAACATGTTTTGCAGTTATCTACTTAATACTATATATCCACATCTGTGATATGAAAAAATTATGAGTAATCTTTGAAATCTTGGAAAAATAACAATTTGTACAAATTGTAGAAAACTAGAAACGTATAATATAATAATAAATAGACCCCTATGTCAGCTATGAATAATTGAATATGGCAATTGAAGAGACTTGCATTTGATTCCTAGATTTACAGCTACATGTAGATACATATTAAAAATTAAATGATACCCATAATTATGCGCCTCTCAGATGACAGAAGTGTATTTGAGTTTGTTTGTTTCCAGACATTGCCAGATTTAAAAATCAATGTTTTTATTTATTTTGTATTCATATCAACAGTCGACTGATGGCATTGAAGCGAATGGGCATTGTTGATAATTATGAGGTAAGTAGATTTTAAGTTAAATTTATTAAATGAATACAATAACTTGAATCATTTTTTGCAAAAATAGTAAAAAGGAAATTGGTTACGCTAAATGTATGTCTGTTATAAATATACCAGGTATTTCTAATTATTCAACTATCTATAATACATACATGTAAATGAAAATTGTTTTCCTTTCTCTCCCTCTCTCTCTCTCTTTTTCATTAACTTGTTGTTATCTATTTCTATTGAGACTTTGGCTCTAAAAACAACACATTATCAATTGTCAGCAGAAATTGGAGAAGTTGGAAGAGGATAAAGAGGGAGAGGGTAAAGAATTGATAGGGAAAATAATGATATTATGGAGTTCGGCAAATAATTCTTGACCATTGATTGTGTGTACAGAGAATCCGAGACTTCACAGTCGCTGTGGTTGGTGTTGGAGGTGTAGGAAGTGTCACTGCTGAAATGCTGACCCGATGTGGAATAGGCAAGGTAAGAATAGACCACGGGGCAGTTTCACTAAAACATCATGTCTTAGTATGTGAACATTCCGTTGAAAAGTTGACATGCATGTGAAGGGGATGTCCAATTGTCCATGAACTTACTCTTGAAAATCGAAATGCTTTTGAGAAACTGTTCCAAGTTTACTTATGAAGTCAAATTCAGAGATATTCCTTCCTAAGCCTCTCATGATTCACTTTTTACTCGTTATTCCCCTGTTACTCTTAATGTAATCCCCCTTGTATAAAATAGATTATTTTGTTACCAGAAAAAAATAAAGTTCATCAGGAAGCAGCCATTATGAATTATGGTAAGATTGTTATGTCAGTATGTCAGACATAGGTGAAAGTATACCATTACTATTTACCATGAAAGTTTGAGTTTAGTACTTAGAACATTGTGCATTGAAACATTCTTTTCAGAATTTAAACCTTCTTTTTTTAAGGTAAAAAGATTTATCCATAGATGTTAGCATCCTTTTTAATTGTAACATTTTAAACTTTGTTGAACTTGCTTCTTATTTTTCAAACTGTTAAACATTTATCACTGTCCATGTTCCATGCTACTACACCATATTGTCAGCAGAATATAAACATACCATTTTTTAATCTCTAGATTTCTCATGAGGTATTTATTAATTCATTTACATACTGGTAGTTTTATTTCTGTTCTCTCCTAGTTGTTGCTGTTTGACTATGATAAGGTAGAGCTTGCTAACATGAATCGTCTTTTCTTCCAACCTCATCAAGCTGGTATGAGCAAAGTACAAGCAGCAGAAAAGACTCTCAGGTAATCCATCGGTTTAAAAGGGCTTGTCAGAGTGACATATCAATTAGATTGTATAATTACAAGGTCAGAAAAGCCTTTGATCCATTGGTTCACAGGCTTTGTGTCCATGGTCTATAATGAAGCTGTCCTATCACAATGATGAAGAAACAGGGCTTGATCATTTTCATCTTTTGTTAAGAACACCTTGTTCACTCAAAATATGCTATTTTAAAAGTTTCACATATTTTAAAAATACTGGAAAATGAAAAATGTCGGTCCTGTTACCTAAAAGAGAAGGGAAAAAAGATGACTTTCAAGTTTTACCATAATCACATACCAGTATATTTGTCTGATGGAGTTATGACTCTTTAGTAAAGCACATCAATTTATTACAGTGTAATCAAATGCTGGTAGTAATGCCATTCAAGAGAGGTTTTCTTAAATTCATTTAATTATATTAACACTTAAAACAAGTGGAATAGTATTTGGTTTGTTGAATAGCACTTTTAGTCTAGGTTTAGTCTAGTAGATGAAAATGAACTTTGATATGATTGCTGGCCCTCGGGGAGAACAGTACTGAATTGAGTTGAAAAGTTTTTAAATCAAATTTTATTTTGGCAAAGGCCTCATTGCAAGCATTTTTTTTACAGATTTGAATAGAAAATATATACAATCATACAGTATTGGTACACAAACAATAATAAAAGAAGATATCAATGAAATAATAGGCATTTGGGGATTTTGGTAAAATATTATGTTATTTAAGTGAAGTAAAAAAAAAATATAGGTATAGGCATAAAATGAATTTAGTGCATTTTCTAATCACAACTCATAATTGTACATTTGGTTAATCCTGATGAGGCAACAGTCTTTGTTTCATGCATTTTTTCATAGATATATCAACCCAGATGTAGAGTTTGAGACTCACAATTATAACATCACAACTATGGAGAACTTCAAACATTTCATGAGCAGAATTCAGTGAGTATCTATAATCTACAATCTAGGGCTACTATCCATTGATGTTCATTTTCATTTATTTCATTGAAGATCATAGCATATTGCAGTTTTGTTTGCCTTAGCAGGTGAATCAAATTATCACCATGACCTTTGTGACTCTCCTCTTCTGACTGTATGTTGTGTTTCCCATTGTTTGAAAGTTATCTGCTTTTTTTTTCTCTCACTAAACAACAGGCCAGATATTCTTAAGTCTGTTTTGAAGTGGTCATTTTAATATAATACATGATATATTTGAAAAATTGCAAAGAAAATGTCAGCAGTGAATGCTTTTCACTCAAGGATAAAAGCATCATATCCTTACAATCGCACAAGTAATTGATGATATTCTTTGTTAATAATCAGCAAAGGCTGAACATATAAGTAGTCTGTCTCCTCTCGATATGTTTATAATGTAGAAATGATTGGTATAATAAGGCGTCTGTATTTGTTGTAATGCAGAAATGGTGGTCGAAATGGGGAGGCTGTCAACCTGGTGCTAAGCTGTGTGGATAACTTTGAAGCAAGAATGGCCATTAATATGGTAGGTATTATAATTAATTACTCACTTTTCCTGTCCTTCTTTATCAGTTTGTATGTCTGTCTTTATATCTCTTTCCATCCAATTCTCTCTCTCTCTCTCTCTCTCTCCCTCCTTCGTTCCCTCCCTCTCTTTCTCTTCGTCTTTCCTCTTGCTGTCTGTCAATCAATACATATCTGCCTCTTTCTCTGCCTTCTGATTTCTCCCTTATTTAGCTAATGCACAGTGTATTTCAAGGCCATGAATTTGGTGAAAAGGATGTTTCTAAGTGTATTTGGTTGGTCAAAGACAATATTTTTTATTTTATTATCATCTAAAACTGTAAGATATTAATATAGAGTAGATGTGTAGCTGGATAAAAATGGAACTCCCAATATTCATTTTTGAAATTCATCAACACATTGCATAGAACTCTGTTTATTAATGCTGAGTTTAGAAAAACATTCATCGGTAAGATGTTTATAATTGAGCAAATTGGCTGTAACATATGGTTTGTATATCAGTGATTGTTAGATCTTAAAGATAATCACAGAATGTGTGATTTTTCTGAAATTGAAATTTCCTCTCCTTCTTCTTCTTCTTTGAGTAGTCATGTGTCCTTTAATCCTGAAGATTATTATAGGTGTGCTGTGCTTGAGATGGTGCAGTTCAGCTGCAATTATTACATCAATAGTGCAAGTAAAACCAAGCAGCAGTAGCTCTAGTCTACTACCCATCTATCCACCAAGTATCACACTATCAGCTTGTGCCTAAAGCAGGGCTCCACACTAACTTCTTGGTAGGGAGTCTGGATAGAACCGTTTGCTGTCTGTATGCATCAACTGTATATAAAAACTTCAAATTTTGATAGTGCAAACCTGGATTTTGGGCGCCTTGTGTCCCGAGCCCTGCCTAAGGCTTCCACTGATGGGGCAGCTATGATGTCACTTGGCAGTATATATATACAGTCAAACCTGCTTTAGTGACCACCTGTCTACAAAGACCACCTGTCTACAAAGGCCACATTTGTTGTTTCCCTTGAAAATGGATTCTCATTGAATCATGTACTAAAGGAACCTGTTTACAAAGACCACCTGTCTACAAAGGCCACTTTTTGTGTTTCCCTTGGGTGGTCGCTATAGACAGGTTTGACTGTATATATATTTAAAAAAAAAACATTATAGGTATATATGCACAGAAAATGCGTTAAAAGGAAATATATTATTTGACTGTGACTTTGTATCTTTCAATCAGGCATGCAATGAAATAAATCAGAATTGGATAGAATCAGGAGTGAGTGAGAATGCAGTATCTGGTCACATACAACTCATCAAACCAGGGGAAACTGCTTGCTTTGCGGTGAGTTACATTTCTTTTTTAAAATTTTGTCCATTCTACATTCCTTTTATAACGATTTGTTTTCTTCGTCTTTTAAACTTTTGAATCATCTGAGAAATAAACTGAAATGAAGCAAGGTAAAATTGGTGTTTAATATCAGACCATGTGGCAGATTAGCTCTATATGCTTAACATGTCATCTAATAAATTGTGATACTATAAACATGATCATGTATTTGAAGTATATTCAGCTTAGCACTTAGTAAGTTCATGCACAGTCAATATAAGAGGGTATTTTAACTATCTATACAAACACCATTTGCAATATACCCATCAGTCATGTTATGAATGAAAAAAAAAAATCAATTTTTTTCCCAGTGAGGATTGTATAAGGCTAGTGAAAAGAAGTTTTGTCAAGCTAATTGAATGTAAACTTCAAACTTGCCTAGTCAATAATTGTGGAATCTGTGAGTTAGATTTAATCATACAATCTTGCTACAGTGTGCCCCTCCCCTAGTGGTAGCTGAGAACATTGATGAGAAGACGTTAAAGAGAGAAGGTGTTTGTGCTGCTAGTCTTCCAACCACCATGGGCGTAGTAGCCGGTCTTTTAGTACAAAACACACTCAAGTAAGTTATCCTTCCATGGTCTGTCTCTATCATTCTCTTCTTGAGTCTTTCACCAAGACTTGACAAAGACTTGACCAAGACTTGAGTAAGACTTGACCAAGACCTGAACAAGACTTGACCAAGACTTGACCAAGACTTGACTAAGACTTGACCAAGACTTGACTAAGACTTGACGAGGACTTCACAAAGACTTGTACTAAGACTTGAACAAGACTTGACCAAGACTTGACCGAGACTTGACCAAGACTTGACTAAGACTTTATTGAGAATCTAGTGAGGCATTACTCACACTGCAGGAAGATACAACCCAAATATCCAGAGAGTGTAATCATAGAATACTTTTGTTTTCCGCGTATTGCATCATTTTTTGTATTAAACAAGCTAGAGTATAGTGAATTAGTAACAACTCTTTGCTTGTATCTTACCCAATTTGTTTTCCCCTCATTCAGTTGTGTACTATGGCATACAAGATTGGTAACACCACAGTATGTAAAAGTAGATAAAAACTGCTTACTATTTGGTGATGATACTTTTAAAAACACTGTATCCAAAGAACAATTAGAATGATATGACAAAAATTTAAAAAGGATACAGTACCGATGTATAAGAGCTAGCAATCTTTGGTTTGTGATTTTTAAATGTGTAATGTGTTTTATGTGAATTATGAGAAAAGCTGAGAATAAATTTCTTCCTACGTGTATATGCTTTGTATTACTAGATACCTGCTAGAGTTTGGCAACGTGACTCACTATCTAGGTTATAGCGCCCTCACAGACTTCTTCCCTACAATGTCAATGAAACCTAACCCGACCTGTGATGACAGCTTCTGCAGGAAATGTCAAGAAGAATTCCAGGTTGGTTCATTATTCTAGATCATTTTAATTGATGACTGAAAATCCATAACTAGACAATTTATTACAAAGCAGGAGGGAGAGAGAGAGAGAGAGAGAGAGAGAGAGAATGGAGAGAATGAAGAGGAGGGATGGAGGGAGGGAGAGAGAGATAGAGAGAGTAGAAAGAAAGAAAGGACCAGAAAGTACAAATTGATTAAAGGGAAACAAATGATGTGAGCTTTCCAGAATCCAGACATGTTTTCATCTCGGAAGGGGCGCTTCTTTCTTTCAGTCTGTGATAAATAAATGGTCCATTCCAGAGATCCTGTTTTGATGATGTAATATATTATTGTAATGTTCACATACTTCAATGTGTGCTTGTGATGCTCTTTTTTACTGTTGAACTTCCCTCAGGTTGATTATTTGAAAGTTCTTGCAGTCATGTTCTCTTTGCTTAATTTCCGTGAAGAAATAGTAATCAATCATGATCAACTGATTTTCAATGAATTTATATCCATACCTGACAAGAAATGAATTCCTTAAAATGCCAGAGAACCATGATGAAAGACATGAGCTCTACGCAAGAGCCTATTATTGTTTTTTTTATTGTTATTATTATTATTGTTGTTGTTATTATCATCATCACCAACATCATCATCATCATCATCATCATCATCATCATCATCATCATCTTTGTTTTATTGTTGTTGATATTATTATCATATGTTTATGTAACAGAATCAGCAAGCTTTGAACCCATCATCTGAGGTAGAAGAAATCAAGGAAGAAGAGGTCGTACATGAGGCTAATGACTGGGGTAGGTCAAAGGTCGTAGAAAACATGCTGATGTGTATCGTAAATTCAAAATAATGCCTTTTTTGTCTATATAGATGCTTAATATCAGTTTACGCATTTGATTTGATTCTGTAAATATACGTTTTCCTTTTTGTCCAATTATTTTGTATCTGATCTCTTTTTGGTTATGCCTTCAATTTTTGTGTCACCAATCCTTTTTCTAATTTTGTCCCATATTAGTACTTAATTAAATTTGTCATTTGTCTTAAGAATGTATTCATATCTTTTCTTTATCCAGTACATTTTGAATACCGGTAGGCCTTTATGACATTATGTGGCAAAAAAGAGAAAAATGAAGAAAAAAAATGAAGAATATATATGCGTACTTCCACCCTGTATGAGCTCGTTAGTTTCATGATAATGGTCATGATATTAAATCTAATATCAACTACAATCTTTAGATAGGGCAGAATCATACTTTTAAAGAATTTCAGTTCATCTTCCAGTGAAATTTAACCCTAATAACAATCATATTTCACATTGAACCTATGTTTTCCATGTTATGATAGAACTTTGACTTTCTTTTTTCCACAATTTGCATTGATCGTACGCTCTATCCTTATTTCATTTTGTATACTTGCCAGGTATTGAGCTAGTAGCCGAGACTAGTGCTGATGATCTAGTCTCTAAACCAGCCCCAGAGCTTGCTAGCGGGATCTCATATGCCTATGATAAACCAGCTGAACAACAACAGGTAGGCCTATGTGTATGTATAATGAAACCTGTGTATAAAGACCGTTCAAGGGAGACAAGAAATGTGATCTTTCTAGGCAGGTGGATTTTGTGTACTTTTCATTTAGCACATGTTACAATTAGAAGCATTACTCAAGAGAAACAACGGCATTGATCCTTACAGAGAGGTGGTGTTTGTAGGCAGGGTGGTTGCTAAAGCAGGTGAATAATATTTGAAATACATATAGTTCCTTTTCCACTGGACTGGATACAAAGTGCTTTGAGATGCCATCCAGTCAATGTTAGAGTTAACATATATGCAAGTTACAGAGCACTGGCGGTGTGCGTTCAATGAATTAATATGGTTCCAGAATAGATATGTCTTCAAATTCTTTTTTGATTGTCCTCATGTTGGTGATGATTTCAATTGAGGGGGAGCCTGTTCCAGAGTCTGGAAGTGTACATTAATGTAGCATTAAGCGTTATACAAATGTGACTTATTATTATTATTATTATTATTATTATTATTATTATTATTATGAAGAAGAATCTTGAGGTGGTGGCAAAATTAATCCAATTCATCTTTGTCATTGTACACATAGTTATCAATACCCATGACATGAGCATCCTCAGTTTATGTCTCATCTTGTTCTATAATATCATTAATAATTAAACCATGTTGATCTGAATGTCTTGTATTCATTCATTCAGATACCTGAACGTAGTGGAGGTGGAGATGAGAACCAAGAAGATGGAGAATCATTGGATGATTTAATGGCAAAGATGAAGAGTCTATAAAACCAGACCTGTACACCCTGACAGCTGTGATATTCAAGATCTATATTGATTTGCCATTCCTATTGCCATCTTACCTGTTGAGAACCAGTAAGACGTTCACTCCGTGTTATAGTATAGGCCTTAATGCCCTTGTGACTCTCAGCAGATGAACGTAACTTATCATTCCACAACTAGGCTCTAAGTAGAAGGATTGATGTCTAAAAATAGCATGTCTTGTTTTGGGGCCTGAAAAGGTTAAAAGTTCGTCAACTATTAAACATGACTACTATATTGAAGATGCAAAGTGCATGTAAGAATATATAATAAAAAAACTCATAAATGTTTTTCTGTCTTTTTTCCTTCATATTTATTTCTCAAAATTTCTGCCCCATTTCCATCTCTTTGTTTGTTCTCTTCTCTGAGTGTACTACATATACATGTATCTATTTTCCTACTCTTTATGTTGATCTGTCTCCCCCCCCCCTCTCCCCCCCCCCCCCCCTCTCTCTCTCTCTCTCTCTATTTTCCCCTCTCTTTTCTCTTTCCCTCTCTTTCACAAATTTTGTTGAATTTGCTTCCATTTTATGCTTGTGACTAATTGTTTCCATTTATATTGTGATAATGGTTTTAAAGAACTTTTAAGTATATTTATCAAAAGTGCTAACTTATTTCAAACATGCCTTGTATAGGATTAAACGATTGTGTAGAACAATAACAATTTCTCAGCATATTTTGTCCTACTTAATTATCATTCAATAGTCTCTGAGCATGGACTTACTAGTAAGTCCATGCTCTGAGCATGTGAATTTATCAAACACATAGAACTAAAGTATACATGTATGTTCGTTTAGTTTTTATTCATCTTGTGGTATGAGTTTGAATTTCTTATCATGAATTCTTAACAATCTAGAGATCGTATACATCCCTATCAATGTAAATTAATTTAATGTATGAAAGGCTTTTACGTTGCCATGGGAATATATTATGAGATATAACATAGTGCACAAAGGGGTCTGTGCAATGCTTGCTATTGTGATTTTGTCTGAGAAAGCATTATCAGTATCTAGAAATGAAGTTAGGTGTAAGCATAGGATTATTATCCTATAACATACAACACTATAGACTGTTTGTAGTTTTATGACAAACAATAAGAAAACTTTGTCAACCCTTCACCCTGCAATGAGCACAGTATGCTAATTGTATTTAAGCTAGTTACAGTGTGCCACATATTTCTTTATACTATATATTATAATGATTTTGTTTCTTCTTATATATCATATGGTTACATTGCAATTTTTTGCGTAATATATACTAGTTTTGTTTCTTATGTATCAGATCATTTCAGATGGATTAAATTGCAAAATATTTTGTAGTGTATACTATGTTTTGGAAGATACCTTTTGCTTTTAACCTTCCCAACAAAGTTATGGAAATTATGTAATTAATTATGAGTTTGAGGTTTAAAACAAAAAAATTGGAGAGAGATTTTGAATGTTTCAACAATGTAGTATGGTCTCAAATTCTGTATTTCATCTGTTTACTAAAACTGACAGTCTATATAAGGTGAATCACATTGTTGGTCAAAAATCCAGGGGTTAAGATTTATTATGCCATTTTAGGAGTACACGGATAACACTCAAGCATCACAAAATAGACCCTAATTATTAAAAAACTCTTTTCCAGAATTTAAAATTTAATATTTTACAACATTATGCATGTAAACATGAAAGACAATTTCTTTGTTCAAATCTGTGTAAATGGTTTATGTTTAATGTATACTTTGGTTCCATTTTTAAAAGGTTAGGACCAAAAGATATTTTAGTCAGTGTAATGATTTCAAACTAAATACTGCAGGGTCTGTGAGAATATGTTTCAATCTTACTAAAGCTTATTATGGAAATATTGTTATGACACTAATGTTCTATTTGTTACAGAGGAAAGATCACCTAAAAAGAAATTATATGTGCAGCTAGTATGTACATAATCATCCCCCCCCCCCCTCTTAGTCGAACCATGCAAAAAAAAGAGGGGAAAATTACCCGACATTTTATGGGTTAAGAGTTTGAGACATGAGGAAATAAAGGATAACATAAGAAACCCCCTACACATTGGGTTTTGTGCGCACCCTTTTCTATCTCAGTGCCCGATACCACTCACAAAGTCACCTATACATTTGTTGAGATTGAAAGTCAACTTGCAATATCTCTTTTAATACAGAAGTTACATTTTAACCTATATTTTGATAGTTTAGCAGCACAGAACCCTTAATTTACAGGGAAGAAATGTAGTTTGGTGATAAGTCCCCTTAAAGACTGCACAACAATGAGAACTAGCATCAGGAATCTCCTCTTAAATCATTAGTTTGGTCACAGAAATGTTCCATTGCATGTTTGCATGAATAGAAATAAACTATCAGTCAATATTTATTCCTCTGTTACCTTTGTTTTCCTAATGACAAGTTGTGGTGTATATATTGTGATCGATATGAGGGGAGTACCGGTAAGAACAATAATTGATTGTTGTAAGGAAAGAGAGGAGAGGAAAGAAAGGAACAGAAAAGAAAAAGGGAGAGCATATATGAAAGTGAAGATGTACAAGATCTGAAGTTTTTCTTGGACATTCTTGAAGACTGTTCAAACCAGGGAATTGTACCAAACCTTTAACTATACACCTGTAATATATTTTATGATAACTTTCATTAGCACATTTAGATTTGAAATAGAATACTAGACTATTGCTTTTATCAATCACATATTTTACATTCCTTCAACCTCCTAGGTTGTCATAATCTTTCACTTTCTGTTTCATATACTACATCCCCCTCCCTCCCCTCTCTCTTTCTCTGTCCTTCCTTGTCCTAGCTCTCCCCTCTCTCTCTCTATTCCCCCCTCCTTTCATCTCTCGCTCTCTACCCTTCTCTTGATCCCCTCTCTCTCTCCCCCTCTCTCTCTCCCCCTCCCTTCATCTCTCACTCTCTACTCTTCTCTCGATTCCCTCTCTCTCTCCCCCTCTCTTCATCTCTCGCTCTCTACTCTTCTCTCGATTCCCTCTCTCTCTCCCCCTCCCTTCATCTCTCTCTCTCTACTCTTCTCTCAATTCCCTCTCTCTCTCCCCCTCCCTTCATCTCTCGCTCTCTACTCTTCTCTCGATTCCCTCTCTCTCTCCCCCTCCCTTCATCTCTCGCTCTCTACTCTTCTCTCGATTCCCTCTCTCGCTCTCTACCCTTCTCTCGATTCCCTCTCTCTCTCCCCCTCCCTTCATCTCTCGCTCTCTACTCTTCTCTCGATCCCCTCTCTCTCTCCCCCTCCCTTTATCTCTCGCTCTCTAGTTTTCTCTTGATTCCCTCTCTCTCTCCCCCTCCCTTCATCTCTCGCTCTCTACTCTTCTCTCGATCCCCTCTCTCTCTCCCCCTCCCTTCATCTCTCGCTCTCTACCCTTCTCTTGATTCCCTCTCTCTCTCCTCCTCCCTTCATCTCTCGCTCTCTACCCTTCTCTTGATTCCCTCTCTCTCTCCCCCTCCCTTCATCTCTCGCTCTCCACCATTCTCTTGATTCCCTCTCTCTCTCTCGCCCTCCCTTCATCTCTCTCTCTCTACTCTTCTCTCGATTCCCTCTCTCGCTCTCTACCCTTCTCTCGATTCCCTCTCTCTCTCCCCCTCCCTTCATCTCTCTCTCTCTACTCTTCTCTCGATTCCCTCTCTCTCTCCCCCTCCCTTTATCTCTCGCTCTCTACCCTTCTCTTGATTCCCTCTCTCTCTCCTCCTCCCTTCATCTCTCGCTCTCTACCCTTCTCTCGATCCCCTCTCTCTCTCCTCCTCCCTTCATCTCTCGCTCTCTACCCTTCTCTTGATTCCCTCTCTCTCTCCCCCTCCCTTCATCTCTCGCTCTCCACCATTCTCTTGATTCCCTCTCTCTCTCTCGCCCTCCCTTCATCTCTCTCTCTCTACTCTTCTCTCGATTCCCTCTCTCGCTCTCTACCCTTCTCTCGATTCCCTCTCTCTCTCCCCCTCCCTTCATCTCTCTCTCTCTACTCTTCTCTCGATTCCCTCTCTCTCTCCCCCTCCCTTCTTCTCTCGCTCTCTACTCTTCTCTCGATTCCCTCTCTCTCTCCCCCTCCCTTCATCTCTCTCTCTACTCTTCTCTCGATTCCCTCTCTCTCTCCCCCTCCCTTCTTCTCTCGCTCTCTACTCTTCTCTCGATTCCCTCTCTCTCTCCCCCTCCCTTCATCTCTCTCTCTCTACTCTTCTCTCGATTCCCTCTCTCTCTCCTCCTCCCTTCATCTCTCGCTCTCTACCCTTCTCTTGATTCCCTCTCTCTCTCCCCCTCCCTTCATCTCTCGCTCTCTACCCTTCTCTTGATTCCCTCTCTCTCTCCCCCTCCCTTCATCTCTCGCTCTCTACCCTTCTCTTGATTCCCTCTCTCTCTCCCCCTCCCTTCATCTCTCTCTCTCTCTCTACTCTTCTCTCGATTCCCTCTCTCTCTCCCCCTCCCTTCATCTCTCTCTCTCTACTCTTCTCTCGATTCCCTCTCTCTCTCCTCCTCCCTTCATCTCTCGCTCTCTACCCTTCTCTTGATTCCCTCTCTCTCTCCCCCTCCCTTCATCTCTCGCTCTCTACCCTTCTCTTGATTCCCTCTCTCTCTCCCCCCCTTCTCTTGATTCCCTCTCTCTCTCCTCCTCCCTTCATCTCTCTCTCTCCCCCCTTCTCTTGATTCCCTCTCTCTCTCTCTCTCTCTTTCTCTTTCTTTCTCTCTCTTTCTATTTCTCTCTCCTTCTTCCCCCTCTCTCTCTCTCTCTGTCCTTCTCTCATTGTTTCAATTGCACTCTGTCATGTTCCCTCCCCTCTCATTATCCAATCGCTCCCCTCCTGCTTAATAGCTCCCGGATAGCTCCCCTTTCTGTTTCTGTCTCCCTTGGCTCCTAGATACCTGCACTTATCAATGCAGATGTGAGTAATTCAGAAAATTACGTTGTAGATTGTACACTTATAACGTTAATGCAAATAAGTGATTAGTTCTGCATTTCAGAACTTTTTCTTACTGTTCTATCATTCCTTAATCTTTGATATTTTGATTTTAACAGGGTTGTCTTTTACACTTTATAAAGAAACATAATCATAATATAAGAGACCATATGATATCATCTTGCATTTCGTTTTATTCCATCATTCAACAGAGTCATGAGGCATAACTATGAACTCATTTGATAACATTTTGTTTTCAATTCAATCATTAAATACACAAATTCCATAACATTTGTTTTCAATTTCATCATTCTATCAACTATCATCAAACATGCCTTTTATTTGTATAGGATTGAATAATTGTGTAGAAAAATAACAATTTCTCAACACATTTTTTTCCTTCTTAATTATCATCAAACACATAGAACCAAAGTATACATGTACGTTCATTAAGTTTTGATTCATCCTGTGGTATGCCTTTGAATTTCTTATCATGAATTCTTAACTATTTAGAGATCGTATAAATCAATGTAATTTAATTTAATGTTTGAAAGGCCTTTACGTTGCCATGGGAATAGATTATGAGATATAACATAGTGCACAAAAGGGGTCTGTGCAATGCTTGCTATTGTGATTTTGTCTGAGAAAGCATTATCAGTAACTAGAAATGAAGTTAGGTTTAAGCATAGGATTATTATCCTATAACATACAACACTATAGACTGTAGTTTTATGAAGAACAATAAGAAAACTTTGTCAACCCTTCACCCTTCAACCTTGGAGAGAGATTTTGGATGTTTCAACAATGTAGTATGGTCTCAAATTCTGTATTTCATCTGTTTACTAAAACTGACAGTCTATATAAAGGTGAATCACATTGTTGGTCAAAAGCCCAGAGGTTAAGATTTATTATGCCATTTTAGGGATACATTGATAACACTCAAGCATCACAAAATAGACCCTAATTATTAAAAAACTCTTTTTCAGAATTTAAACTTTAATATTTTACAACATTATGCATGTAAACATGAAAGACAATTTCTTAAGTTGTTCAAATCTGTGTTTAACGGTTTATGTTTAATGTACACTTTGGTCTCATTTTAAAAAGGTAAAGGACCAAAGGATATTTTAGTCAGTGTAATGATTTTAAACTAAATAAAGTGCAGGGTCTGTAAGAATATGTTCTAATCTTACTAAAGCCTTCTATTTGTTACAGAGGAAAGATCACCTGAAAAGAATTTATATGTGCCGCTAGTATGTACATAATCATCACCCTTCCTTAGTCGAACCACGCAAAAAAGGAGGGGAAATTACCCAACATTTTATGGGTTAAGAGTTCGAGACATAGGGAAAATAAGGATAACATGAGAAAACCCTACACATTGTGTTTTGTGCGCACCCTTTTCCACCTCAGTGCCTGATACCACTTACAAAGTCATTTATACATTTATTTAGATTGAAAGTTAACTTGCAATGTCTCTTTACAGAAGTATCAGTTTAACCTATCTTTTTAATACAATTTAGCAGTCCCCTTTAAAGACTGTACAATATGAGAATGAGCATCATTGAATCCCCTCTGAAATCTGTAGTTTGGTCACAGAAATGTTCCATTGCATGTTTGCATGATTAGAAATAAACTATCAGTCAATATTCATTTCTGTGTTACCTTTGTTTGTCTAATAATATGTTGAAGAGTATTGTTACTGAGATGAGGGGAGTAAGAACAGTAATTAATTGATAAATAACAATAATTGAAGGAAGAATTGAGAGTATATGGGTTGTAGAAAAGAAGTAAGAAGAAAGAAAAGAAAAAAAGAAAAGAAAAAGATGAGCATATGAAAGTTGTGAAAGTGAAGATGTACAAGATCAAAAGTTTTATCTTTCATGGGCATTCTAAAAGACTGTCGACCTCTACCCAAACCTTTGACTATACACCTGTAATATTTTTTCATGGTTTATTTCATTTAGAGTTGAAATAAAACTTTTGTTTTTATCAATCACATATTTTACATTCCTTCAACCCCCTAGGTTGTCTAAATCTTTCACTTTCTGTATCATTTACTCTCACATCCCACTCCCTCCCTCTTCTCTCCTTCCTTGCCCTCCCCCACCCCTCTCTCTAGCTGTTCCCCCTCCCTCCCTCTCTCTTTCCTTGTTTGTCCCTCTCCCCTCCCTTTATCTCTCGCTCTCTACCCTATTTTCGATTTCCTCTTTTCCTTTCTCTCTCTCTCTCTTTCTTTCTTTCCTTCTTGACTCTCCCAATCTCTCCAACCTACTAACGTGTTGCGTGTTGAAACAGAACCCCCCCCCCCCAAAAAAAGGAATATATTTGCATGTGATGCAAATATGAGTAGGTAGACATTTAATTTCAATACATGCAAGAAAAGAAAGAATTGATGGGTAATTCTGTCAGGGTATATTTTCATGAATAAATTACATCTTCCATGTATTTAATGTTTTATTTTTGACAAGTAAAATCAAATCAAATTAAATTGAGTTTAAGAACAGAAGCAGAAAGAGAATGACGATGAATATTATGAAACATCAGAATATACTTAAAAAGAGAAAATATGTGTGCATGTGACTGTATAATTTAATAAAACAAGTATCCCATTCAACATCAGACCACAAGTTGGAAAACAGAACACACCAAAAATGTATCTACATTACTTTTAGTATGAGTATATTTCAATTCTACCATAAGACACATTCTATTATTCCTAAATGTATACTTTAAAAATTACATAATTACAAACTACTCTTAAAAATACATATCAGTATAAAAAGTGAGTTACTGTTTACAGTAGAGCTGTAATAAGCAAGATCAACAGTCTTGAGGTTACACCACCATGAATACAACAATTTACATTTCACTTTAAACCATTTCATGATAAAATGACTAAACTACGGTAGGATAAAATATACAAGTTGTAGGTCAACATGTGTGTGACGACATAAACTAAAACTAACATCCTCTCAAAAAATAACTTGTATTTTTAACATGGAGTTTTAGATTTAAAAGAATAGGATAAATGTCTAACATGTCCAGTTAATAATCTTATACATTACACAGATAAAACATGAAATACAAACTACATTACATGTAGGCAAGTATCTCACACTGATCATGTGGTAAGAACTTAGTCAAAAGGTTAAGAAACTAACCTCAACATCATGTACTCCCAATTACATGTATTAATAAAGTTATCATAAGTTGTGGAAACCTTCCTGGTGCATCGAGATCGTCTCAGAAGAAACCAACAATATATTATCCCATCAACTTTAAAAAGAAGGTTTGACTTCATTTGTCAGGCCATACAAATCTATTTTTTAATGCATTATTTTCCTAAGGGAATTCCCAGTTTACTGCTATATTCTCAGACCTTTGAATATGAACCTTATTTGTGAATTGTAAGATCTTTGGGGCACAATTTAATACATACATGATTCTGCCATAATACAAAATACCAACAGCAAAACTTTCCTTCAGGTAAATACAAGCATTAATTGTTGGGCAAACTTTTTTGAGGTCGTCTACTCTCATAAGTGTATAAAACATTTGACAGCTATTCAAGGGAATCTATTTTCAATCCCTTCAGATATCAGTCAATCACTTCATTGGGCTTATCTACTCTCATAAACATATCAAAAAATGAGAAAATTAAGGATATCTTTTTGTTCAACCCCTTTAGACACATTTTTAAAAATGTGCATTACATTAAACAATTCAATTGATGACAAACACTTCACAAGGTTGTATATGACAAATGGTTAAACTATTCAATGGAAATGTTATTTCAGTTACAAAGACAAACAGATGAAGCAAGGGAAAGGAATATCTACTTTATCTGTGACATGCATGGTGCACTTAATTAGAGTACTGATGGTATTGATAACAAAATCAGCTGCAGGAAACAATGATTACTGAAATACAGTCACAGCAATGAGTGAGTTACAAAAAATAAACCTGATCATGAATACAATCAATAAGCTATTCATTTAAGTTAAGACCATGTTGTACTTATAAACATTTAAAAATGATGTGGGTATATTGTACATAACTATGATTATATCTAGGAAGTCAAGAAATCACAGCTTTTCCTTACCCTCATTATCAATAAATCTATTTACACATCATTAAAAAATATTTTTTTTAGAGATAATTCCATTAATCACCTTTACTGTAAAAACACTCAACACTCTGGATAAATGACCTAGGACCGATCTTTACAGATAAAAGTATTAGTTGCTCAGGCAGGATAACATACAAATAATTCACTAAGATGGTGCTTAATGTCATTGTCTAATCTTTGTGTTTACAACATTAGCCTAATTAACCTTTACTATGGGACATGTATTGGCACATAATGTAGTTTTACATGAAAATAGACAAAATTAAACAACTATCAAATAAAAGTAGATCTATTGGAAAGCAAGTTTGAATGATATATTTTTTCAGTGAAAAATATAGTTGAGAAGCTCACATTTAGAAGATTGCAAGGTCCTGTAACATGAGAATCGACTCTACAATCAATATAAAATCGATTACATATGCAATCTTGCTCCAATCAAATTTTATCTTAACCACATATGCATTGAATCTATCTGGAAAATAAAAATAATTGTAAGTAATTATTGTAAAGTTCTGATTGATTGAAGGATAAGTACATGAATTTAGGTTGGTTCAGATATGGTGTGGTAAACCGGCAAAACTGTGGCATTTAAACATATGAAATGATTGGCAATGACACACAATAAAGAACTATAAAGGACTTGCACGTCATCACTGAGGTACGTGTTATAAGAGTCAGAAATGTGAAGCATATTACACATTACGTCATCATTAACAAAACAGCCGCGGTTTAGCCTTTAATAGCTTTCAATAGCACCTGATTGCACTTGCTCTGAAAGATCATCCCTCTTACACTTGATCAAGGCATTACAAAGCACCTCTACTTTCTCCCTGTCATTCTTGATCTGTGTTCTCTGCCGCCAGCATTGGAGAATGTACAGAGTACGGTACTTAATATCTCTCTCACTCTCGACCATACGTTCAATTTCTGGCTTAGAAAATCCCAGTCTTATTGCAAGATCTTTCCATTCAGAACCTATCTCCTTGGCGAGATCCATGAAGAAGATGTCTGTCAGGACTGTATTTCCTGAGTGTAGGAATAAACAAAATTATAAAGATACGGTAAGCAAAAAGTGCATTAATGAAACCTCTCCCTGTCTCTCTCTCCCCCCCCCCCCCTTCTCTGTAATCGCAAACAACTTCAATGTTATACATGTGTTTAACAAATATCGCATGCATATAGTTTTTTAATATACATTCACCTCCTAATTCATTATATAATGTCATTATATTTCAAACCCGGCATGCAGCCCCAGTGAATATCACTCAGGAAAATTATGATTTTGTTCACTTCATAAATTTTGTTTATTGAACATCTGCAACATACACTACTTTATATATATATATATATATATATATGTATTTTAATAAGTATTCCTTGCATGATGTATGTATACGGTACTCTATGTTGTTCAGCTGTTGAGCTGCTATGGTATTAAAAACCCTTTTGTCATTTTTTTCTAATGTAAAGACAAGGTATGGAACCTATCTTACGTTGTACCTGATGCATTGTCACTTCCACCTGCCACATCTGCTCCTCCTCTGTCATCTGCTCCACCCCTCTCATCTGCTCCTCCTCTGTCATCTGCTCCACCCCTCTCATCTGCTCCTCCTCTGTCATCTGCTCCACCCCTCTCATCTGCTCCTCCTCTGTCATCTGCTCCACCCCTCTCATCTGCTCCTCCTCTGTCATCTGCTCCACCCCTATCATCTGCTCCTCCTCTGTCATCTGCTCCATTTATCTCACCTGCTCCTCCTCTGTCATCTGCTCCATATCTCACACCTGGTGCACCGGAAATGAAGAAAAAGAAGTACCTGTCAGTACCTAAAAACTAGTCACGTTCACAAGATCAAACTTTAAGTCCCGTTGTAAACTATCAATTTTTTAAAAGATTATAAATGTGTCTGGATTACTCTGAAAGCAATTGAAAGCCACCTACTGTACTAAGAGAAAAGGTTACCCCACCCCTAATCCACTCCAAAAAAAAAAACATTAATATATTTCTGTCAAGAACAATTATCAGACAAGTTAGATTTCGATGCCACAGCCACTATTAGGCCAACAAAAAAATTGTTTGGTTGTCCTCGATTGCTTTTCTGGAGTAGGGGCAGGCGGGCAGTTTTTTTTTTTTTTTTTTTTTTTTTTAGACTTCATTTTTGTGTCTTCTTTTTTTCCCCCATTTTTTCTTTTTTAAATATTTTTTTTCCATAACAAAAATAAATAATTGTGATTGTCAAGCATTTAAACAAACAATGTCTATAAAACACTTTAATATGGTAAAAGACTAGTTTCATGTACAATGAATATCAAGACCAACACAGAAAGTATTTTGGGCTTTGAAATACAGCACCTTTTAAATCTCCATTGTACTACTTATAGCTACTTGCGCCCTCTATGTAGAAAACAATGCCTAATTGGTGACCATTGGTCCTCCATGATCCCCTTTATCTTATATTAACTGAGAGCTGATTTGATGAGATAACCACCTGTCCAGTGACCTTGCAGGGTGGTCTAATCCCTCCTGTAAACTAGTACAGATGGGCTTTAAAATGAGTTTAAGAATACTCTGAACTTGATTTGAATGAACGGCATTTTGACATAGAAAAATAAAAATGGCAAGTTTAATAAATACCTAATTGCGTACTGAAAAGACAAAACTGGCAACGGGACGCATTTTGATCCTTGCAAATGCATAAAATGGTATGTTTGGCAGTTTAGATTGCTCCCCAAAAAAAATTAAATTAAAAAAAATTAAATAAATAATTTTTTTTTTTTAAATTAAATTTAAAAAAAAAAAAAAAAAAAATACGAGCTGCCCGAAAATGACGAGCGGGCGGTCGAGGACAACCAAATGATTTTTTTTTTTTGTTGGCCTTAAAAGTAAAGATACATGTGGAAATTCTCATCCCAGGCCAATTTTTTTTTTCAAGACTGACCATATTCTATAAGACGGTTCTGTTCCAAACATCTGGAATAAGGTCGTAAGCTCACCTGACACAGAATGACCCTGGGATTCTCCTTCCCTCTTGATCTCCTTGCCAATAGTTTTGATCATTCTCTCTTCTAGGTCATCATCATCAATATGTGAACTACGCAGCCACCTGAGCCGCACCGGGATGCAATCTTCATCACAACATCGGATAGGTATAACTTTACTTCTTAACTCTTTTTTCTTTACAGATTCGAAAGCCATCTCAATTGTCATGTTGTACTCTCCCATTTTGGTTGAGCAGTCATCCTCGGTGATGACCAAGACAACATGTGAGCATGTCAGGACAGCTTCCTCTATACTTTGCATCACTGGCATGCCAAGCTTACCGCCAAATGATGTTGTAAAATTCCATCCATTTTTTGTACACATATCCTTAATCTGCTTGACTTGACGTGTTTGTTTAGAGGACACCAGATATATATCATAGGGTTTTGGGTCACTTGTGGTGATGTCTCTTTTATCAGCTTCCACTGCCTGCATTTCTCCACAACCTTCAAGAAAATAGAGCATAACATTAAATTAATTTCATTTATTTCTTTCATTCATTTATTTTCCACAATATCAACAAATAAAATTTACAAAGGCTAGTCATTCTAATCAAAATACTAACAAATGTAAAATATGGTACAAACAAAGCAGTAAAAGTATAATAATAAATAATAATAATAATAATAGCCTAATAGTCAACTCCAAATTTCATTAAACCGAAACGGAAATTCTTTTTGCCCAATTGATCGTGAGCCCGGCAGCCACTGAGCAGCGCCAGATCGACGTTGCTCTATCCCTTATTGTTGAACGCCAAACAAGGTAGCAACAACTCCCATCTTTTAACGTCTTTTGGTATGACGCGGCCGGGGTTCGAACCCACGACCTCCCGGTTGTGAGGCGGACGCTCTACTGACTGAGCCAACACTCCGGTACAATTGAGACTAAGAAGATAATTGCTGTATTGTGGAGGAAACCTAGGAAAGCATATAGCTTGTAACAGAATGTCATGGTCAATGGTTTCAAAGGCCTTGGAGAGGTCCAGAAAGATACCAAGTGTGGGAAGGTGGTCATCTATAGTATAGTATTAATGACTGCTTTGAGAGAAATAGTTGTTTTATTACGCTCAAGGGAAGGTTAGAATTGTGCTATTCCCCGAGGCTTGCCTATTTCTCGAATATTAAAGCAGTCATTAATACTTTTATATGCCGAAAAAAAATAGACTAAAAAATAAAAAATAAAAAATAATTTTTTTTTTGTCGAAGGTGAGAGTCGAACTCTTGCGTACAATGAATGATGAATCTTACACCAACGCCTTACACCACTCGGCCATCGCGCGCTGTTCACGAGCTTGGCAGTTTTGTACAATATATACATTAAAGTAGATTGAAACCGGCTTCGGCGTGATGAATGCTTCGCAAAAGCACCCTTCTTTTACTTTTGCAATGCATATTGGCACGAACTTAGATCAAGATCTATCGGCAGATGTTGTTTTTTTGTTTTTGGAAGTTTATTTTCGTCTTCATGTCAACAAAGCAAGATAAAATTGTCGGTAAGATCGATCGAGATTCAATTGTATTGAAATTACCGACCAATCCTTCGCACACATACGGTATCCTCGATCGCTCAAACCATTTTTTAACATGTAAACCTATGGGGTAACCATGGAGGCTGACCTATTTTTTTAATAACCATGGTTATTAAAAATAGTAAATGTTTTATGCATGGTTACCGGGAATTTTACAGGAACAGTTGAAGTTTATGAATGCAATTCGACCAATCAGATGGCTGGATTTCTTAAGTGAGGTATATAACAGTCGCTATATGATAAATAAATTATACAAATGCATGTATAGTTGAATGCTTTTGTATAAAGCTGAATTGTGAGTTCAAAAAAAATATTGAAGCTCCTTAAAAAATTTGATTGTACGTCTATAATGATTTTTTTTTCTTTCTAGAATTTTAGAAATAGAAGATAAAAAGAGATAGTGGTCTATAATTTCTCATGTCTAATGGATCTCCCTTTTTATAAATGGGAACAACTTTGCCAATTTTCATTTTATCTGGAACAATACTATCAGAAATTAATACATTCATGATATATTCCAGGGGAATTACATTCTCATTAATGATTTGTTTCAATAAATTATTACTTATGTCATCATATCACATACTTTTTTAACCGGCTTTTAAAGTTACTTACAATGTCTATTATTGTATTAGTATCTACTTTCGGAAAGGAATTGTGTATTTGATTGTTGTTGTTTTTTAAAGTCACAAAGGATCTATCGATTTGTGGTATCTCTTTAGCAAGGTTAGGACCTATACTTGAGAATTAATCATTAAAACTTTTGGCTTTAGCAAATTATCGTCAGTAACCGTATTGTTGATTTTCATTTGAGTTATGCTATTGCAATTTTTATTCTTATTTAAGACATTTTTTATTATTTTCCAAGTTTCCTTTATATTTGCTTTATTCAATTCAAATTGGGAACAGTAAAACTATTTTTCAGATCTTAAAAGGGTTTTTATATCGTTTTTTTTTGTATTTGACATATTTACCATGTGATATATTAGTCAGATTTGCTCAATATTTTTTCTATTAATGGATCTTAAAAGTGATCTACTAACCCAAGGATTGCGTGGTTGCTGTATGTGCTTGAGTTTAAATTTTCAAAAGGGATACATCTATTTGATGAATTTATACAAATATACTTAAAGTTGTTGTAGGCTCTATTAGCATCGCTCTCAGCTAAAACTTCTGCCCAGCTAAATGAATTAGGTTTATCCTTTAATCTTCTAATTTTATTAGGAGTGATTTCCTCACCATCCTAACTGGGGGAGGGTGGGAATTAGCACCAAAGTAAGATGTTATTTGGGCGAATATTGGACAATGATCAGAAAGAGCAGAAAGAATGACACCTGATTCAGTATCCATATCAACATTAGAAAAAATAAATGTCAATTAAAGTGCAAAAGTGAGAAGATATAACATAGCGGGTCTAGTAATCAGTGGAATGACTGAAAATGATATTAAAAAGTGAACAAAGAGTCTTGAAAAATATTACCGTCACTGCATTTTAAAAGATCGATATTGAAATCACCAATAAAAAGTTAGTGTTTATTTTTAAATAAAGGGTTGGAGAGTACTAACTTTTTTTTCTTGGACAATCTAATTTCGATAAAAACCATGGTTCGATTCATTATATTCAATTCACTCATTACACGGTAATGAAGGTGAGCTAGAACATACAATGCAACTCCTCCTCCTCTCTGATTAACTCTATTGTTAAAAATAAGGTTATGCTTAGACAAGGAATACATAGTGTGAGGGTCATATGTAAACCAGGTTTCTGTTAGACCAATCACAAAAAAAATCAGCTCAGATTTTATCCAACAATAAACTCAGCTGCTCAAAAAAATTGCAGGGGTTGTTGGTTGCATATATAGTATCTTTGGTAATTGATTCTTGTACAAGTGAAAAACAACTTCAAGACTGTGGACAATACATATCCAATATGATTAAATTATGAAACAACAAAGAAGAGGTAATGAGGTGGATTGAGAACCTGCAATTAACATTTACCTTTTCATTAATTCACAATATGTTTAATATAATAATAATATTCCGCTTTTATATAGTGCTTAATACAAATATCTCTAAGCGCTTTACAGATATACTATTACCCCGGTCATCGGATTCAATACTTGCCCGCACACACTGTGTGCACAATCTCCACTCCCTGGGGAGGATTCCAACCAGGCATTACTTGACGCTAAAAAACTATTTGACCAACAACGACGGTCGCATCCTACCGGGTACCCATTTAACACCTGGGTGGAGAGTAGCAAGTGCAGGTTAATATCTTGCCAAAGGATATTAGTACCATGTCGGGATTTGAACCCTTGACCTTCGCAACTCCAGTCAAGCGCCTTAAAACACTTGACCAGGACACTCCTACTGTAGAATAGTCATATTAATTTTTTCAAATACAAAGAAATTAAACAACAATCAAATGTTATCCCGAGCAAGAAAAATGTAGGCTTATAATAAAAACTGGCTTCAGATAATCTACTCCTACCAGCTTGATGATTTGGAGAACTCTGGTCCAACTCTGTATGTCCTTTGGCATCGATTTCACTTGTGTCAATTAGAGCAGCTGGGCTGAGAGGTTTTTCAGACTCAGGAACATTCCTTGTAGTTGTACTCCCTATTCTCATTTCGATTTGATCAGGATTCGGGTCTATCAAGGGTTTATCAGCCCCTTTTGTTACAGATTTTTCTGTTGGACGATTAAGACTCTGATTTTCCTACCAGAGAAAATTTATACAAAAGCAAAAACCTAGTTGGTATTGAGGATAAAAGTACAACAGATACATTAATATTCTTACCATGCTAAAGTGAACATATCTGATGTTAGTATAGTAGAAGAACTCATAATAGCTGTTTCTCTTTTCTGCATTATTGTTCTGTTACACATGTATGCCACACATATAATTCCATATTACCTTATACTTTCATGTCCCTCCCCCCCCCCCCCCAGTATTCTAAATCTATAAATCTGAAATTCCGCTCAATAAAATTGCTCATGATATACAACAGCTGTGCAGAGTGGAAAGAGATCAAAAATTTGTTCAATCCAAGGAAAAATATGTCTTTCTGTCACCCCCCCCCCCCCCCTCCCTCCTTTAGCTACAAATATCATAAATGTAGAATCACTATGTGATCACAAATCACTGTTATTGTGGTTATTTTTGTCTTGTTTTAAAATCAGGTATTTCCCCCTCATTTACATCACTTCGCAATCTTTATTATGTAATAACAAAACAATTAAAGAGAAACACACCAAAAGCATGAACATGTACCTCCCAATGTTAGGTAAAATGCATGTTCTTCACCTTCACATCTGCACCTAGTATACGTAGCTACATGTATATTAGCAATACTAGTAAATAAATGTAGAATTTGTGAACAAATTAAACCAAGTAATATTTCAACATATAAAGTAGTCGTATTAATACTCACATCTGCAGATCTCTGACAACCTAATAAATGGGGGAAAAAGCGGAAACAAAGAAATGTTTAAAATACCCCCGGTAACAGAAACAGTACACAAACAACTCTTCAAATAAAAATTTGGAATAATATCTGCAGAACTGGTTTCTTAATGGTACTGAAAAATGTTGTTTGATATGGATCTTGTGAAAACATGTTTCCCACTCCTAATACATTGAGTCTAAAACAAAACAAAGATTTAGTTTAAACAAGAAGTTACTAGTTTAAACCAGTTACAACTTACAGTTACAACAGCTTAAAGTGTTAATTATCATGTAAAATCAAAGAAATGTAGTGACACTAATTTGAGGGCTTACTAAAACTACATGGGCTCTATAAAAAGTGTATATTTGCTCAACCCGTAAATTTCTTTTCTCCTATGCATAGTGCTCTCCCTCTTTATTTCCCATCATAAGATTTGCCAATACAAATATTGTAAACTTGTTTGTGAATGGTTAGCACAGAAACAATTCATTTATGGCCTGTCTCAGATTTCATAAAAGAAAATTTATTTTCTGATCATTCTTCTTCTATCAAACTTCTCCCAAATCTTTGAAAAGTGAAATTTCGTTATAAATAACTGTAAGTCTTTCTGCATGTTGCTTCCAATAAATTCATTAAATTTATTTTAATACAATGACATAATTCAATTTAAATATCCATATTTATTCCTTATTTACTCACCTGGACAGCATTTCTGCCGACAAGTCTTTGTACAGACAGCCTGACCGACTGTGCATTTAAAAGAAAAACGTAATTTAGATCTTAATATGATCTGATTGTGAATCAAATATCATCTATCTTATCTTTTTTTATTTAATTTCCATTTTTATATGATTTTCAGGAACACATTGAAATATAACAATAACAAGGAATACAAGAATGCCTGCGGATCATCAAAACAAAAAGCTCTGCTCATCAGCTGATGGTATAATATATTATCTAGAAGAAAAAAAAGACATGAAAATTGTGAACCGAAAATGCAAACAAATACTACTGACTAATTATTGGTTTTCAGAGTGTGAACATCTTTAAAATAAGATTTTCTTGACTATTTGGCAAGGGAAAATAAAAGCACAGGAAAATGAGTAAGGCATTTTTTAAGTGGATTGTCTTTTTGACTTACATTTCAAAATTCATCATTCAGACTATTACATATATTTACATACATAAAAGATGAGAAACAAATTGATATGTTGCATCATAATAATATTACATCATATAAGACAGGACTCCACACTTAACTTTTTCAGAAGGGGTCAGGATTTATCTTTCAATATATAAACTAGATGGATGTTGACGGCATGCACGCAGAAAATAATGCCTCCGCCATAGAGCGATTTTACAAACCAAAACAGAAGTAATTTTAAAAATTCAAATTTGATTGTAATCTCAGAATATCATAATTAAAAGCTATTTTTCATATACATGTATGACCCTTTGAACTTTGACCTCATGATCGTAAAATCTAAGCAGTTCATTGGCTCTGCAAGATGCATACATGTCCCGAGATTGATAGTAATCCATCCGTCAGTATTGACAATGCGTTCACAAGCTATTTTTGCATAAATAATGAGCCCCATGATCTTTGATTGTTGACCTCATGACCCCAAAATCTAATCAGTTCGTTGGCTCTGCAAGATACATACATGACCCAAGTTTGGCGGTAATCCATCAATCAATTCTTGTGATAACGCGATCACAAGCTACTTTTGCATAAATAATGAGCCCTGTGACCTTTGACCTAGTGACCCCAAAATCTTATCACTTCATTGGCTCTGCAAGATACATACATGACCCAAGTTTGGCGGTAATCCATCAATAGGTTCTTGAGATAACGCGATCACGAGACGTACGGACTGACGGACAACCAGAAAACATAATACTTAGTAGCTGAGGCATAAAAACTTTGGAATTGAAGGGTTCCAGGGCCCCGTCTTACAAAGAGTTGATATCAATCGTAACTTATTTACGATTGATATCAATCGCAACTATGTACATAAGAGATAGGAGACTGCAAAATTGCGATTGATTGGAGGACTTACGATTGATTTGGATCGATCGTAACTTTTTGTAACTCTTTGCGCCCATGTATCCCGGGTACCTGTTAGCATCAAGCACTTCAAGATATCATATAAGGTATAAAGTCCATCTTTGGGTGTTAACATATAACTATCCATGCAAAATACAAAGAGTCACGCAATTAACTCCAAGCAAGGAATGGAACAATGTAAATGGGTCTTGTATTCACCTCTATATTCGACTAGAAATTTGAAGCGATGATCATAATTCATATTTCAGCAGGATTATTCAACAAAACCAAAAGCTACAAATGGAGGTTAAAATCTTATTTCTATTTTTTTTTTAAAGCCCAATATAAATGGTGTAAATAGATTACTTATCTCTTATACCACCTGTTTGAGCTTAAGCTCTGCAAATATGATTATTAATCTTATTGCATCCCCAATGGAACCTAAACTACCATTAGGAGCCAGAGCATATAACACTGAGTTCCTGTAGGAAATATATTTATTCAGATGGTCATATCTCAGCCAATACTTAACATATTCAATTGGTTTTCGACATTTGAACATTATTGTTTATTTTCTTTCGGAAAATGAAAAACAAATTGAAAAATTCTAAAAATAGATTTTTGATGACGTCACACTTCACCACTCTATGCACAGGTATGCATCTGTAAGATACTCTTGTTCAACAATGAAAAAAAAGTTGAATAAGAATCAACAAGGAGGATTGGGCTATGGGTGTCAACTATATAGTCTCAGGACTGCTAGTTTCTTGTGATTTTTTTTTCTCCATTGTTTTTGATTTGACACTACAAGATGGAAATGCTCATCGACATTTGAATGGCCAGATGCCCTGTTCTTTGAAATTTTCATTCAGAGACTCATTTATTGTTAAATGGCTATGCTCACTCATGCATGAAGGGTGAGATTTCGATCGCATAGTCTCTAATTAATACATTAAATATTTAATTGAAAATCTCAATTATAAATAGGCCTAGTGTCCACTTCTTTTTTTTTTACTGCGTTTATTATAAAAATATTGACTGCTTTGAGGGGTTCTGTTAAAACTGTTAATAGCCCAAGGTGATCTTGAAACTGTACTGTGTGCATAAAAGTGCAAGTCTTGCGATCACCGAATGAATTATGAAGTAAGGAAAGTATCATTTACACCAAAATATTCATGGATTATTTTCTATTGATTGTTGTATTCAAAATATATCTCAATATAATTCAACATTAAAGGCAATCCGACATTTCAAATTGTATGGAAGCAAAAAAATAAGAAAATCATATTTCCAAAAGTTTGTAATAAATTGGGCCGATTATAAGAAAAAGAAGAATGATTGAGATATAGATCACTAAATCAATGTGAATCTCAAATTGGCAATTTGGTCAGTGAATTGCGACAAAGTCATAGTCAACTCTCCCCCTTTGTCTTGTACAAACATAATTTCTGTTCATCTCCCAATAAATGCCTTATCCCTTGGAGCATTAATAACAAAGAAATCATGGTTAGCATTATGCTCTGAAAACAAAATCCCTTCTGATATAGTCATATATTCTGAAAAATTGACACCTTAGTAATTTTGTGTGGTGGGGAAAATGGAAAAGTTGTCCACCACTAGTGGCGGATCCAGGCCCCCCCCCCCCCCCCCTGGGAAAAAAAATGTGTATTTTTACATTTTTTAACATTAATTTTACCTTTTTTTGGAGATGCCCCCCCCCCCCCCCCGGCGCTCAAGGAGGGTGCAATTTTTCAAATTTTTGGGAGCAAAACAAATAGTGCTCACTACCCCTTCCCCCCCCCCCCCCCCCCCCACTGAGTGAATTTTCGGCCGGCGCAATTTTCAAATTTTTGGGAGCAAAACAAATTAGTGCTCACTACCGCTGCCCTCCCCCCCCCCCCCCCCCCCCCCCATTTGGCCGGCACGATTTTCATATTTCAGCACATTAAAATTTAAATTGATTTCAAATTTGGGCCCCCACCCCTAAGAAATTCTGGATCCGCGCCTGTCCACCACTACATAACCTTGACATTAATGATTCAGCAATTTCGAAGTTCCGATACATACATAGTGATTACAAATTTCAGGAATCCATATTAATTCCTTATTTTCTGTCCAATTTCTTTCATTCCTTGGATTTTCCTTTAATAAAAGGAGATATGACAATCAAAATTCCAATGCATTTTTTTTGTGGACATCTATATATTTGATACTCACAAAGGAAATAAAGGACTCCAAGCACTAATAGACCGATCGAAGTCAATGCACCAACCACTATGCCAAACACGGTCCAATTAAAACTCTGGCTTTCAGTAATCCCACCTGTAAAAGCAGAATAAATATAATTATTAGGTTTGAAGACCTGAGAAGTGAAAAAGCTTGAATCAATACAAAAATTAAATGAACACCAAATAGACCTATTTATAATTGCCATTCTCATGATTAAAGGAATCCCTGCGAGTGCATGCAGGAGCCATGACAGGTATTGTACTAAAATAGTGATCTCATCTCTGTTCTGTGACTATGGGTGCGTTTATTGACCAAATTTTTGCCTAGAATCAGGTTTCTCAAACGTCTTTCAGGCAAATTTTGAAGGTGATAAACGCAAAGCCTTTTTGAAACATCTTTAGATATGGGCATATCTGAAGACGAAAAAAGGTATGTTTTGAATGTGACAGAGCCAGAATCACGTTTCTGAGAGATGATAAACGCAAAGCTGTTTTGAACCTCACATACAAATCCGAACTTCCCAGGTTAATTTCCAGTTCGGAGGCTAGTGCGCGCCATGTGCTGTGTACAAGCATGTGTGTATAGTTGACCTCCAAGAAACTGTCTGCTCTCTGGGTCAAACGGCGCAAATCAGCTGCGCAGAGACAATAGAGACGATATGTACATGTCTAGTGGCAAGACCCGATAAACGCACCCAAAATCATATGTGTACTACAATAACCAATGACATGCGCGTGCCCATTACATGCACACATCTGACATCTCTGGTCTGGACTGATCACACCCACTCACACTTGTTATATATCAGACAAACTAGCTTTGCCTGTGTATCCAGATCCGGGGTTTCTGAAGGTCAGAATGCTTCCTATTTCAGAAAAAATGTTTACACTTAACAGAAAAGAATTTCGTGTTCAAACGGATACAAATAAATCTCGAGAAATAAAGATTTTGATATGAAAAATAGTCTGCTGACCAGGAATTCTTGCCAAAGGGAATTTCTCTGTACAACCGTGTATTCAGCCCTAAAATGGAATTTATGATTCTCTTTCCATTAAACATGAACAGGCCCAGACCTTTCGGTCATGAACTTGCTCCACATATGTCAGAAAGGGAATAATCTAACATTTATTTTCTTTCTATTTTATGCTCTTAGACCCTTTTCATGCTCACTACGTTAGACTGGTCTTAGCTGGAGCATTTTCTTTGTAAGAGAATTCTAACGTATTGATGTGTAAAGACATGACTGTTTCAGGAAGCGTACCTCTGGACCAAATCGCTTCCCAGGGTAAGTTAAAGCGCTTTTGGATCGAGCCATAATGTACCCTGCCAAGTGGTTCATTTTGCCAGCGTTCAGACACTTATGTGAGGAGCGTACCTCTGCGGTACCAATGGGGTTCCCTTCGCACTCAAATCCGGGGAGATGACACGTGTGTCAAAGGTAAATTATTTGGCGGCCCATTTCTAACAAATATCCAGCCACCTGGCCTGCCCCTGATTACTATTGCTAGCTGTTGGATAGCGATTAGGCAGATCTCATCGCATCTCTGTACCGATTTTGGAATACATGTATGTGTACAACAACAACTTTTGCAATTTGGTACGCTCGATCACTTCCTGTACGGTACCGTCTGTTTAGATCTACTACAAATGATACACTGTGCGAGAAATAGAAGCAACCAAGCAAAATGAATAAAGACCCTAAATCTCTGTGGCCTGGAAATCTAACATTAAATCACTTAATAGATCTATATAATATATAGTATGTTGTGGCCCTCACTCATTCTTTGTTATTTTTTTTTAAAGCCACACTGTACTACTTGTAGCTTCGTACTTGCTCCCTCTATATAGAAAACAATGCCTTATAATTATTGAGAGCTGAGTTGATGAGATATTGATAACCACCCGTCAGTGACCACGCTAATCCCTCCTGGCCAAACTAGTGCAGAGGGGCTTTAAAGAAAAGTGTTCAAAAGTTTGGGAGGATGAATCCTCTGAGACGTGTCCTCTGCCTCTGGAATCACTGTACATGTCTTTTTTGTATCTCTCCTTATCATCCCTTTACTCTTCTTTTTTGCCAGACTGATCATCATACATCATGATTAGGAAATTCAACTTCAAACTTAAATCGGTTTGTTGAAGCAAAGCAGACAATTCAGAAAATAGGAACTTACATAAACAATTGAAACATAATGATTCATCTTTAATTTCACATCACAATTTGAAAGTTATTGAAGTCTATGAAGACTATAAGTAGGTCAGAGCAGCCGAGATCCATGGGTTGTTTGCTGCATGAATTTCCCCAGCGATTACGGGCGTCGCTAACGCTCGCGCCCATCTCTTGACCATGTTGACCAGAGTTGAAAGTTGCAGGTTGTCCAATAAACTCAGGCTTATTAGGGCTTACATGGCCTTAATTTTATATCCAGATCTAGGTCTACATCATTATGTATCTTTTACAAAATCCTTACCTGTAACTGTTGTTGGTATAACAGTTTCCATTCTTAGTTGATCCACGGGCAGTTCCAGGCCTATTTTTAGTTCTTTGCCGCACCAGCTGTACTGTACGTGGAGAAGCAAGCATGTAGACGAAAGACTATTTGGGGAATTCCCACAGCATCGTAGTTTCATTTAAGGAACTGTTATTTTTTAATTCCTAAATTTATCATTGTTATACTCTCATACCCCGAGACGGGGTCGACTATAAAATCTTAAAATCTTACAATTTTCATGATTTGATTATATCATATATTCCAAAATTGTTGTGCTTTATATCTGCAAATTATGACACGATATCACATGCAGTGGATTTTGAATGAAGGAAGGTTAGAGCCCGTGAAGACAGGTATCAAGTATCAAGTATCAAGTTTATTTGTCTTCCAGAAAACACATGTGACAAAATATAATAGAGTATAATCATAACAGTACAATGTAGAACAAAGGAAGACGAGGAGACCTTGGTTGAAGCACAGCTTGTTAAGTTAAGGCCCCCTCATATGATGTGACAAAGATAACTTATTTATGAATACAACAACAAATATGGAATATATAAAACTATTTACAAAATACTCTCAGAGAACAACTACCCAACGTTGCATCTAATATGATCTAATATGGACAAACCCAAGCCGACACCAAGTCGAGACATCAATGAGTTATTGCTCTCTGAGTGCAGAGGTCAAGTAGGAATATATGGTATGTAGTATGTACAGATGAGAAAGAAGAAGAAAAAAGAAAAGGGATAAAGGGGGTTATATGTCAAAGTCAAGAATTAACGGAAAAAAGATCAAGAGTAGAGTTAAATATGCTACAGTACACTAACAATAAAGCTTGATAACACATTCATGTGTCATCGACATACTTGTCAAGAAAATATGACTTAAGTCTACGTTTAAAAACTGAGATACTTGAAGCATTTGTTATGGTAGTATCAAGTGAATTCCAGAACCTGGGGCCAGTGGACATTAGTGTATTCAAAGTGAAGGTTGTCCTTGCATATGGTAAATGGAGAGCAGAAGCCTGTCTAGTATTATAGCTGTGAATTTGGTTATTTCTTCTAAAGATTTGAGCAAGGGCAGGAGGGAGGTCTCCAGAGTGAATGCTAAACATGAGCATTCCAAGTTGCATTGAATAGAGATCTTCTAGTTTTAGAATACTGTTTTCATAATAAAGTAGATTTGTATGTGCACGATAATTTGCTTTACAAATTATTCTAATAACCCGCTTCTGCACAACAAAAAGCCTGTGGATTTGAGTTTTGGATGATTTGCCCCATGCCAACATACCATAATTGATATATGATAAAATAAGAGTAGAGTACAAAATGAACAATACCTCTTGAGGTATACATGATCTCAACTTATAAATAACACCAGTATTTTTTGACACCACTTTACTTAATTTGTCCACATGAGTTTTCCAATTCAGTTTCTCGTCTATGTATATTCCAAGAAATTTCGTTGAAGTTACTCTCTCAATTGGGTTATTATTGAATGCCACTTCGCCTGGCAAAATATTAACTGAATTACTGAACAGCATATAATTAGTTTTCTGAAGATTCAAGGATAACTTATTAGCATTAATCCACTTCATTACTTTTCGAAACTCTTCATTAACAGTTTTCAACAATGTTTGTGGACATCTATGAGAAAAAAATACACTTGAGTCATCAGCAAAAAATATGAATGATAATACACTTGATGAGCGTTGAAAATCATTAATATACAAAATGAATAAAAAGTGGTCCCAAAATGGATCCCTGGGGAACACCACATGTTACTTTTTGGGGACTAGAGTCAATTCCATTTAAGGACACATATTGCTTTCTATCAGTTAGATAACTTCTAAACCAATCCAAGGCGACTCCCCTGACACCATAATGACATAATTTACTTAAGAGAATTTCATGGTCTACAGTATCAAAGGCCTTGGAAAAGTCTAAAAATGTACCAATGGTGTGTAAGCGACTATCTAAGGCAGAAGCAAGTTTATCTATAAGGTGTAAGATTGCATGTGTTGTTGTATGCTTCTCCCGAAAACCAAACTGATAATTACTGAAGACACATGTTTTGTTTAAAAATGTTATAGTTCTTACATAAATAATTTTTTCCAGAATTTTTGAAAAACAGGTTAACAAAGAAATCGGACGATAATTTGTCAGTAATTGAGAGTCACCTTTTTTAAAAATTGGTACAACTTTTGCGATCTTCATGTTTATCGGTACAACTCCGCTTGACATAGACAAATTAAAAATATGAACTAGTGGTTGAAGGATACCGACAATAACTTGCTTAATAAGTTCGTTCCCAATATGATCATACCCAGGACTTTTCTTGTTCTTGAGGGCTCTAACAATACCAAGCAATTCTTCTTCATTTGTGGGCACCAGAAATAAACTTTGCATGTTAGGTTCTACTAAGTAATCATGAAAATCAGTTTGACTGTTAGGAATATTTTTTTTCAGATTCGGACCAATATTACAAAAATATTCATTAAACTTTTCCACTATAATATTTTTATCTTCAACCATTTGGTCATCTATATTCATTTGTATTATACTTGTTACTTTAGATGCTTTTTGAAATACATTTCTTATCACCTTCCACGTGCCCTTGATATTATTGTAAGTTGTAAACTGTGCTAAATAGTATTGTTTTTTGGCTGCACGCAGCACAGAAGTCAGAGTATTTCTGTAAACGGAATATTTCCTTTTTAGAGCTACCGTCCCTGCTTTCTTATACTTATAAAACAGCTCATTTTTCTTATTTATTGATTTCAGCATAGCATTGGTGACCCACGGCATACGTGGAGTTCTTCTACGGTTGTTTTTACTCTTTACTACTGGAATATTAGCATCATACAACAATAAAAACCTATTCATGAAAATATCGAAGGCACTCTCATCACACTGATTCAAAAGAACATCACTCCAGTTTGTCGCCAATAACGCCTCTCTAAACTGATTAATATTTTCTGGGGTGTTTCTTCTAACATAAATGTTCTTATGGGTGACTACAAGTTTTTTTCCCAAAGGAATTACAGTATACACAGGAAAATGGTCAGACAAGTCCGACACAACAATAGTAGATAAGGGAAAAGGTTGTAAGTTACTAAAGATATTGTCAATTAGAGTAGCAGAGGATTCAGTTACTCTTGTTGGTTTTGTTATCAAGGGCAACAAAGAAAACGACAACATCAAATTCAGGAAATCATCAACATGAGCATCAACATTGTGCTGTAAAAGGTTTATATTATAATCTCCAACCAAAAATAAGGATTTACTGTTAAGTGACTGGCTTTCCAAAACTCTCTGCATTTCGTCCAAAAAAATGTTCAAAATACCATTGGGAGGTCTGTACACGACTCCAATTACGATATTATTTTTACCAGAAATAAAGACTTCAACAAATAAAGCTTCTAGATTTTCAGTCATAACATTAAGCTCGTGACATACTCGATATTCGAGCCCAGACGGAACATAAAGGGCAACACCACCACCACGTCTGTCTACTCTACTATTGCTTAACAAGTTATAACCTGGAATAACAAACAAATTTGCATCATTTTCATTGGTGAACCAAGTTTCAGTGACACCAATGGCAGTTAAGCCTGAGCTGATTTTGTTCACAAAATGATGTCACATGTTCAAAATTTCTACTCATGCTGCGGATATTAAAATGAAGAAGGGAAAGCTCTTTATCTGTGGCATTTTTAACTGACTCAAAGAACTGTTGTTCTGTAGAATAATTACATCTTAAAGAAATATTTTCAATGCTGTCACTGATATCACTCAAGCTAGCTTCAAGAAAATTGCAAATATTATGGTCATCTATTTGAGCCATGATCGGTCAAGATAGGTGACAGGATAAACACGAGTACTGATAACATAGACATAAGGAAACGGCTAGCTAACTTAAATACAACTAGAAAGATAAACACTTGAGACATATAGAATATGAGACAGCAAGTTGGAGAGGAAAAAGGAAGGTATAAACAGGGAAAGGAAGACAAAAAAGAACAGAATGGAAAACATATATATAACTGCGCACAGGATACATTGCGCAGATAAGTAAAAAGACAATTCATATGAAGAAAAAAAACAAAACAACAACAGTACCAATAGTGTAGTAAATAAAAAGAGATGTTTTAAATATCATGTGGCAAGAGCTATCAAGTTATTTATAGACAAAGGTTGAATTTAGAGCCTGGCCAAGTCCGCTTCAGAAAAGATGGTTTTCTTCATTTCTTTGCCATCGGTTGCTGGCAACAAGGCGATGACTCGACCATCCCGTGTCCAAGCAGCTTTCACCCGTTGATGGTCACGGGTCATCTTGAGGAGCTTGGCGTTATCGCGCGTGAGGTCCTCCTGGATGGATTTTCTCGTACCCGCGAGCTTGCGTCGACTCCCGAGGACCTCGTTCCTCTTCTTGAACGACAGGAACTTGACAATTATGGTGCTTGGACCCTTTGGACCAGGCTTAATAGCGGAATTCACCCGTTGAATATGGTCTATGTCCCCCTTCTGGAGGTGAACGCCAAGGGAGGTGTTCACCAGATCAACTATTACATCCTCTGAAGGCACCCCTTCAACCTCGGGGATACCAAAAAATCTGAGAGAGTTTCTCCTACTGTATTGCTCTTGGGAGTTAACATCCCTTCTCAGCAGACTGAATCGTTGACCCGTGCCATCATGGCTTTCCTTCAGCAGCTTAATTTCTTCTCTATTTCTTTCTTCAGAAAGCTCAAGGTCAAGGATCCTTGCCTCCTGCCTTCCTATTGACTCCTCGAGCTTTCTCTCCCTCTCGGTGGAAGCATCCTGAAGATGTAGAATCATGGCCGCTTGCTCATCAATCTGTTTTTGAAACTTAGCTAGACTTGAGTCAACATGTGCTGAGACTAGCTGCATAAATTTCTCATCATGAAGTATATCGGTCATGACTGCCTGAATGAGAGAGGCAGTTTCCTTCTTCTCCCTAGCCGATCTAACTACAGGTAACTACAGGTAACTATAAGAATGATGTAAAATATCTTCCACATTCCTGATAGAGAATTGCCGTTCGGTCTACAAGCAGT